AAAAAGAATGGAAAAAATATACCCTGCAAATGGAATCAGAAGAAAGCTGGAGAAACTACATTAATTTTGACATGGATTTTAGAATGAGGAATATTATCAGAAATAAAGAAGAATATTTCATTTTGATAAAGGGGTCAATTCACCAAGAGTACATAATCCCAAATGTGCATGCACCTAATCACAAAATTTCAAAATACACAGAACAAAAATTGACAAAACCAAAAGAAGAAATAAGATAAAGCCACAATTATTATTTTCAAATTACAATACACCTCTCTCAGCAATTGACAGACCAAGCAGACAGAAAATCAGCAAGGACACAGAATATTTGGACCACCAACCAACTTGACCTAACTGGCATTTATAGAACACTACATCCAACAAAAACAGAATACACATTCTTTTCAAGTGCACATGGAGTATTCACCATGGTAGACCAGCTACTGTGCCATAAAATAAGCCTCAGTAAATGTAAGAGAACTGAAATAATTCAAAGTATGTTCTTTCACCCACAGAACTAAACTAGGTATCAATAACAGAAGGGTATCTGGGAAATTTTGCAAATATTTGGAAATTAAAACACTTCTAAGTAACACATGGGTCAAAGAATAAATCATAAGGGAAGTTGGAAAATATTTTGAGCTGAATGAAAATGAAAATACCACATATTAAAATTGTGGGATGCAGCTAGAGCAGTGGTTAAAGAGAAATTTGTAGCATTGAATTATTAAACACTTATGCAACCCTCCCCCCACAAACATCAGGATATTATGCAAGGAAAAGGAATGGAGGACAAAACCCAGCCCTGAACACAACAACCATAGAAAAGTGACCCACCGCAGATGAAAGTTAAAGGAGAAAGTACAACTGGTATCAAAAACAGCTCTGAACTCCATACATCTTACCTTGATAGCCGATGCTTGCTGACAATATACATCTAGGTTAACAAGAGCTTAGATCCAGGAAGGTCAGTGAAGGTAGGCGGGAGAAGGCAGGGAGTCAGAATGAACAAGAGCAGCATGGGCTAGCAGAGTTGATGAACTCTGATCCCAGGACAGAGGCTGTTACTCTTATCTTTAAAATACTTCTTGCCAAAGATGAGTTGTCCCTGGAGCCTAACACATACTACCCTCAGAAATAAGAAGCCTCTGATGGGTTCTGTTTCTAATTGAGGTAAGAACAGAGGGGTCAGGATTGCAAGCTAGTTGAACTGTGATCCCCAAATATCGTCCTACATTAGAATCACCTGAGGAACTGTGTTAAAAAATACTCCAGGCCCCCACTCCAAAATAATCTAATTCAGTATATTTGGAATGCGGAACCTAAAGTTTCCCAATTAATTCTAACTCTGATGATTCCCAGTCTGCAAACTACTGGTATAAATATTATCACTAATAAAAATTGCTAACAGTTACTGAGTACCTGCCACTACTAGGTCCTCTTTATGTGCTTTAATGTATTGTTAGATTTAATTGATTAACAAAAGGGCACTGTGAAGACCAGGTGAGGACATTCAAGTGGAGCTCATCCCCACTCAGAGGAAACAGATAAGGGAAATCATCTTGACATACAGGCAGTAACTTTTCAATTACCTGTAAAGATATGAAAAATGTGATTAACACTGATTGATTAAAGCAATAAAAAGATTGATGATGTCGGACTTAGTTGTGAAGAAAGACAAAAAAAGGAAAAAGTCTTGAGGCAGCATGGAACAGTATCCAAAGAGGGCATATTTGCCTCTCAAATATGATCCAATCCTGCGCTAGCAGGGGAACAGGTTGGCTTCAAGGATTCTGCACTATACAAAAATGGGTCTGAATTCCAAGTTGAACATTCTCTTGCCTGAGAATGTCTTCCTGACCATCCAATCCTTTCTGAAGTCTTCCCAGATCAACCTGTTGAGAGCAAGACTCCCCAAATCACACCTAGTCTGAGGTCATTCTTACCCTGAGTACTCACCATCATCTTAATATGTAACAGGACCCCAGTTGCATGTGGTATGAATACCTTACTCGTTTTACACTTCATTTCCTGCTTGTATCTTGCAAGCGTGATCTTTTCTCTATTATTGACGTCCTGGATCAATTATCCTGGAAAGCGCAAAAGGTGTCTGCATAACAGTAACTAGCAGCGGCATATTTAAATTACAATTCATTAATGTTCTTTGATAATGATGATATAGGTAACCCTAGGAGATAAGTATCACAACAAACTGCATGAAATTAGGATCATGAAGACCTTGAATATAGTACAATAATATCATTCTGGTTAAAATGTTGTGGGAACATGGGTGATAGTAGCTCTTTATCAGTTTGATATTCAAATCCAAGGACATCTAGCTGTCACAGGACAAAAACCAGAGGTCAGACTAAGCTAGAGGTTAAGTACCAGGTCATTTTCTAGCTCCTAACCCTTCCTTAAATGAAGGCTACTTCTGACTTGCAATGATGCATTTATGTGCCCTGTGTCCAAAATCTTCTTTTCTTCTTCCACTAAACACCCCCATTTAACATCACATCAAAGGAATTAAGCTTTGTTAGCCTGATTGATGTGGAACTGGTCATTAGAACTTAAAACAGTATCTAAGAATCAGAAATAAAAAGCCATTATTCTTACATTAATACATATCTTCTCAGGTTGTCGCACCTTTAGTCACATTTCCAATATCCCTTCTATTGTCATTCTTAGTTATCATGTCAATTTGCATTTATAAATACCAACAAAATCCGTATGCAACTAGCATGAATTACCATCTCTTAAGCAGCTCCTCTTTTTATTCTCAACTCTAGGCCCAGTAAAATCTCTTTGGCCCTGACAATGTCTCTAGAAATGTTACTTCAATTAAAAAAATTAAACATTTAAACCATGCTTCTAAGTGATAAGACAGAATATTAAGTGGCTCTAATATTATAAGATCCATTCTACCTAAGGCCTTAGAGATCAGTATCCATAAAAACAAAAAAATCAAAGGCCAGGCACAGCTTTTAAACTAATGAGATCTTGTTTATCTTACTTGTATCATGGAAACCAAACAATGGTCGCATGAGTTTTCTGATCTTTACAAACATGCTTATGAAAAAGTAAGGCCATCATAAATCCTAGTTTAGAAAATCTGTCCTGAATATTCAAAAACACTGGGACGCCTGGGTGGCTCAGTCGGTTAAGCGTCTGCCTTCAGCTCAGGTCATGATCCCAGGGTCCTGGGATCAAGTCCCGCATCGGGCTCCCTGCTCCATGGGGAGCCTGCTTCTCCCTCTGCCTCTCTGTCTCTCATGAATAAATATAATCTTAAAAAATATATATTCGAAAACGTTTTCCTGGACTGAACCAAATCATCAGAGACCTGGGTGCCTGGAACACATATTTTGGTGTCATTGTAGAAATATACTCACCAGGGTGAGTTGAGGTGTTGGCCATCAGCTAATATTCAGGGCCACTACAAGATACATCCCTTTGTTTTGTTTACTGAAAACACAGGGCTTGTTCCTTATGAGAATGCAAAGGAAAAGTTTCTTTCGGGTTACATTGACAGAAAATGTTCTTCTCCATGACTGGCTTTTTATTTAATGGACACTGTAATTCCTGTAACTGACACATCACACCTTCTCTGTGTGACCGATCAAGTTTCTCAGAACTGATTCATGGCCCAGGTGTACATGACATTTTGGGGTGTTAACTTCATTTTAGGTATTAATTTCACCCAGAAATCAAATTTTCTCATTTATTTTTTAAATACTGTACTGTATGTTTTTTCATAAATCCTTTTTGGAACGTGGTAGGGTAGAAATAAAATAATTACACACTTGTTGGGGGAAAAAAATAAGGCTGCTAGAATTTCCATCCGTATTTGGCTAAGGTGCTTCCAGGAAACAGAAAATAGCCCTGCACCATGGACCAGTGATTTTCCAACAATAAACTGCAAATCACTTGTACACTGACAAGGCAAGATATTCTAACTTTTGCCCCTACCGTTTAAGACAACGCAGATGGATGGATGACTGTCTTCCAACTTCTCACCAGCTCAAGAGAGGGTTCAGGGTTACTTGTACGTGTTTATATACAGTTCTTCAGATCAAGACCCAGAAAAACAAACTTGCCACCTTAAAATCTTTTTGAGAACTGAAAGCTAGAAAAAATGCACATACCACAAAAATTTCGGGGGGGTGGGTGGGTGCTGTAGATATTCTCCATTTATGAGCCTAAAGGTAAGAACTCCTTTCTAAAAGATGGCAAGCTTAAGACACCAGTCAATACAGCTTAGAGCCTAGTTCCTGAGAGAGAAATCCTGCATATTACATGATTTTCATGTAAAACGTTCAAAGATTTTGGGGGGAGGTTAGGATGACGCCTGCTCATATTACTTAGTAATATTCATAGTGTGATAACTGCCTCAAAATATACTGCTTTGCACCTCTTCACTCCACATGATCCCTCCATATAGAGAGCAGTAAGCCCTGCATCACCTAGGTTTAGATTTCCTCGGAGGACCTCCCTCCATCCAACATTATTTGTTTGCCTCCAATGACTAGAATGGAAGTTACGTGAGGGTAGCAGGGACTTTGTTGTGCTCAAGGCTGTATACCTCTGGTGCACCTCTGGTGCATAAGAGGCACTCAAATATTTTTTAAATAAATCTTCTATAGGAGGCTCTATAGCCAGTTTTTGTAAATGAAATTCTACTAGAACTCAGTCATGCTTACTCATTTACGTATCACCTATGGCTCCTTTCATGCTATAATGGCAGAGCCAAGGAGTTGCAACAGGGTATACACAGCCCGTAAAGTCTTAAATATTTACTATCTGGCCCTTTACAGAAATAGTTTGCTTACCCCCAATAGCACTCATTTGGGCCTTATTTCTCAAACTAGATTGGAAGCACCCTAGGTACAGGAGTTGGGTCTTAATACTCCTTTGTACCTAGAACAGAGTAGATGCTTAAAAATAGCTACCACTACACAAATACAGATTTCCTACTTCCAACATAAATTATTTTTGCACAGTTAAATCCAAAGTTAGTATTTTCCATCCTCAATTCATTTCTAGCAAGGATACGACCAAAGCTCACGTATGTTCAATAATTTGAGGGACAAGGAGAAGAGAGCCTGATGCTAAGTAAGTAGTGAACTTTCTAGTTCAAACTCACAATCATGTATTCTTTAAAATGTGAATGCAACATAACTGGAGAGCTCCTCCCTATGTTTCAGACAAATGATTCTGAGGTGAACCATAGCTATTTTCTCAATGTCAAAATCATTTTAACAATGCATAATTCTTTTTATGCCAGGCACATTATGGGTGCTCAATAGTCACTGAATGGATCATTCTCCCATAGTTATTGTGCTCATCAATTTTTGCAAATTACAATTACCTGAAAAGGGGCATCAAGATTTATATCCCTTTGCCAATTCTCAAATATGCTCAGCATTTCTCAATCCTTTAAAAAATTACAGCCTTGTCATTCTCTAAAAAAAAAATAATAATAATTTGCATAGGTATCATCAGTTCCAAAGAATTAAAGAGTAAATGGATCATTTTAGGCATGGTTTCAGTCCACTGTTTACCCCAGATGCAGAGGTGAGCAAATAAGATTTTTTCATATTATTGGATGAGGTATCATTTGAAAACACTGTAGACCATGGACTAGGACAGAAAAGAAAAGAAAGGGCTAGGAGCCTTACTGAATTATCTTTACTAAGTTACTGTGAATAAGCAACAATATACACAATGATATACAATCATTTGAGAAAACTATTGTTTATTTAGAAAAAAGGTTACACTGGTAGAATTCAGTAGATAAAAAAATTTTCTTTTAAAAATGTCACTGTGAAACTTTTCCAGACGAAAGTTCAGCAATACAAAGCTCCTGTAGCTGTAGAATTAAAACACAATTAACTTTCCGTTTCCCCCCCACCAGATTTGTCTGACATAATTACAAGAAAAAATGGCAAGGGACAAGTGAGTGCTGGTATCTTTTTCTTTTTTAAACAGGTTTTAATGTTGTACATGTACTATATAAAATGATTCCTAAGACACTGCTCCCACTTCATTTTTAGTGACTAATATTAAAAACAAGCCAAATAATAAATTAAAACTGAGTTTTAAAACGAGGTAAATTCAAAATGGTTCAATAATTGTTTATTTTCAGTTTCAAACAATAAAAAGGAAGCATTTCAGATTGGGGAAAAAAAAAAACAAACAAAAAAACCCCAACTAAACCCAAGCAATATTTAGTTGACCTAAAGTGAAATTCTGTACACATGTAACCTTATTTGCTTGTTGGGAACTGTATGCAGCACATTGTGCTAAAAATATGGAACAGTTAACACTTTCAGCCATTTACTGAAAATAAACATGTAGAAACTAAGCAACAAGTTAAATACAGTAATGCACAACTCAACAATTTTAAGTTTTCGGCATGGAGCAATAAAGCAGATAACTGAATAACTTAAGAAGATGCAAATGGGCCCTCTTGATTCATAATTCTCGGCAATCTACTCAGGAAAATAAATTTCTGGTCACAGCTGAACAATTTCATTCCAATCTCACCTGAAAGAAACAAAGTGATTATATTGATAGATAAGAAAGGAAAAAGAGAAGGAATGAGGCAGGGAGAAGAAAGGGAAGGGGGGATGGATGGAAAAAAGGGGCAGAGGGAGGGAAGGAGAAACAAAGGAGGGAAGGGAGGGAGGAAAGGAATGAAGGAGGAGGAAAGGAGGAAAACAAGAAGGAAGGAAAGAAGGAAGATTTACGAAATAAAGAAAAATCAATGAGTTCTGTCAATAACAAAGGCTTGAATTAATAAGTCCCTAGATAAGAATGAAATATTTGTGTATTTCTCATCACTTCCCCCTCTCAGAAACCATTAAAGATAGGCACACTAGGAGGAGTTTGAAGAAAGAAAAAAAAAAACAACCACTGAATATTTTGTCTGTGAGAGAGGGAGAAGTCAGGGGAGGGGAGGGAGGATAAAATTAAATAGAAACAAGAAAATATTCCACAGGGGCAAGCAATAGCTTGTCAAAAATAAACAGAACACAGAGCAATGAAAAGGAACCGATTTTACATGATCAACAAAAAAAAGAGAAAAATGACATCACATTTTTCACAAGGACACGATTTTAATAGTGACTTATATTAAGATGCAATGTCTGCTAAATTATAAAAATTGCTTTAAAAATATATTGACTTAATTATACTCATTTCCTTTCCTTTATGTACTGACATTTTCAAATACTGCATATTGAAATAAATTCAAAACATGATCATTACAACATGTGGCAAATAACTTCATATCTGCCTAACATTGTTCTCATTCAAATTTTAAACTAATGCTTAAAGCATTAAACTTTATTGACGAAAATACTACATTCACATATTTCATAAAACCAGAGCTAGAAGGGCCTTGGAAAGTAATCACACTTGCATGAAATGCTGACAAATAATTTACACATCATTTCTATACAGCATTCTGTTCACACCATGTATAACCTTGACATTACCAATTATAACTGTGGTTACACTAATGTTGAACTTACAATTTTAATACTTAAAAATCATTGTTCCTGTCCATCACTGATGAATGGATAAACAAAATGTGGTACACATTCATACAATGGAGCATTATTCAGTTATAAAAAGAAATGAAGTTCTGATACATGCTACAACATGGATGAACCTTGAAAACATGATGCTAAGTGAAAGAAGCCAGACACAAAAGGCCACATATTGCATGATTCCATTTTTACGAAATGTCCAAAACAGGCAAATCCATAGAGACAGAAAGTACATTAGTTGTTTCCAGGGGCAGGGAAGGGGAGAACTGGGAGTGACCTGCTAACAGGTATGGGGTCTCTTTTGGGGATGATGGAAATGTTCTGGAATTAGTGGTGATGGCTACAACATAGTGAATATACTAAAAACCACTTTAAAATGGCAAATTTTATATGTTATGTAAATTTTATCTCAATTTTTTAAATTGCAAAAAAAAAAAAAAAAAGAAAGTGTTGCAATAAAGAGTATCATGGTATCAGTATGGCCATAACTAGAAAAAGAAATGGGGGTCTCAATCATGATGATGTCACAGTAGGAGAATTACTGGGCAAGGGAACTTTTGCTGACATATTTAAGGGCACATTAAAGGATAAAACTGCTGTTGCCATTAAAACATGTAAAGATGATCTTTCCCAGGAACTGAAATTAAAATTTTTACAAGAAGCCAAAATCCTCAAGCAATATAATCATCCCGATATTGTCAAACTTATAGGAGTTCGCACACAAATACAGCTTATCAATATCATTAAGGAACTGGTTCCAGGAGGCGATTTCCTCTCCTTTCTGAGAAAGAAGGATGAACTAAAACAGTTAGTGAAGTTTTCATTAGATGCTGCTTCTGGATGGCGAATCTCGAGTAAAAATTGTATACACAGGGACCTTGCTGCAAGAAACTGCCTGGAGGTGAAAATAATGTTCTGAAAATCAGTGACTTTGGAATGTCTCGTCAAGAGGATGGTGGTGTGTATTCATCTTCTGACTTAAAGCAGATTCCCATTAAATGGACAGCACCAGAAGCTCTTAATTATGGGAGATATCGTTCTGAGAGTGACGCATGGAGCTTTGGCATCCTCCTCTGGGAGACCTTCAGCTTAGGGGTCTGTCCATACCCTGGAATGACAAATCAGCAAGCACAAGAGCAAGTGGAAAGAAGATACTGGATGTCAGTCTCTCAGCAGTATCCAGAGCGTATTTATCAATACAATGTTGAAGTGTTGGGATTACAAACTTGAAAACTGCCCCAAGTTCAGTGAACTTCAGAAAGAACTGCCATCAAGAAGAAAAGTCATATGGTGATGAAACAGTGCCAAACTCAGCCTTCAGGACTCTATCTTCCAGCAGAGTAATATTTTCTTCTCATTAACAATGCATTTATACCACATTACCTGGAACATTCTCCTAAGGTTGTTTTTTTATTTTTTTAAAAATATGTGCCACTTTAATGTTTGTAAATAACAAAGCACAGGCGCTAAATGCAAGCGATAACACAGATCTTTTTCACACCTAGGACTGCTGATGTTTTTCACAGGGTTTCTACTTCAGGCTGGGTCCAGAGCTGGCTGTCCTCCATCCTAGACATCTCTACTCTTTCGGTGCTATCGACTGCACTGGTAATACTGTGTTTGCAGAAAGACAAGATTACCTTTGTAAACATCACTTTCTACTGAGTATTATCTGGACAGGACATCCTGAGGTTTTTTTCTTCCCTCCCCCCAACACCCCCAGAAATAGGCCCTGCTGTATTAGTAAGGTTGCAACTTCCCTAGGTTCCACCACACCCTCCTCCTGGGCATCAGAAAACTATGCATGAAATGCCCTCAAAGAGCACACTCTCAAGAGCTGAGGAGCTGGTTTTAAATGATGTTACTTTTAGAGAGTTGTGACAGCAAGAAGCAAGTCTGAATAGTAGAGTGGTCTTGAGAAAAGAACAGCTAGACTGGTGATCAAAGTAGAGAAGAAAAATATAAATTCAGCCTTCTTATCCAAGGTGTGCCCTTATAAACACACACACACACACACACACACACAGATTTTATGATCAAATTCACCAAAAAGATCCTAAGAAATGTTTCAATAGTACGCAGATTCCTCATAAAGGAGCCCGCTTGAGGGTAACAGAATTTTTGTTAGAGAAACTATAAAACACAAGCCCACAAAATTAATAAGATTGTTTTGGGTTAAGTGTCTTCACCTCAAAGGAGGCATCTGAGAATTTGGTTCCCTTCATTTTCACCAGTTTCTGAAGTTATCAGGATTTTGTGATCCTATTTCACACACACACACACACACACACACACACACACACAGTAGAAAGGCATATATGGATGAAGCTGACTGTTAAAAAGTCAAATGAACATTTATGAGGAAGAAGAAGATATAGGAGAAAGACATAGGGATAGCCATCTTAATTCCACTTTACTCCTTCATTTACTCTCCTTATACTACTGCTACCTTGGAATTCTTATCATAGCAAACATACTTCCTGAGATGTTCCATGTAGATAAATGTGACACAGAATTAAAACTGGGATTCTGTTGAACTGAATCTTAGCACACACAGGGATGCCTCTTAGGATAAAAGCATGTATAAGGGATAGTCACACTCAGGGGTAAATGTGGCATGGGAGCCCTTTTCTAGGCCTATGTCCCAATAAAAACAGCACAGCACCTACTGAATATTTGGTCTACCCTACGTGAGAAAAAGAAAATAGAAAATTCCTCCTATTCTGTCCAACTTTTTGGTACCTATGAATATCAGTGCAAAGAATGCACACCCGCTAAAGAGTATAAATGATGGTAATGAAGAGAAAAATAGTTTGTGTCTATCATTTCAATCTCCTAACAAAACTTTGGAACTCATTTAATGATTACTACATACAGACCAAAATGAAAGCTTAATAAACCTGCCCTCAAAAATATGTTGCAGCACACAAAGCAACCTCTTCTTAAACAGGATACTACCAAATGCTATAAAGTGAACCTTCTTTTGAGGGCAAAAAAAAGTCCAGTGCTCTTTCTCATCAATCCCAAAGAGATATACATAATACTTCTGCACATAGCTCTCCCTGTAGAGTTAACAGAGTATCTGAAACACAGCAGGCAATAAAGAAAAATACCTGGTTGCTTGATAAGAAGGAAAGGATGAAGTCACTGCCTTCAACAAGATCACAATCTAAGGAGAGGGATATGTAACATACTCATATATTACACAGGAATCTGTGACTAAGACTCTGTAGGCAAGCTGACATGCCCACACATAAGCAATGGGAAACCAAAAAAGAAACCTAACTGAACACTCCCCACTCCAACAAATATTACCAGGACCTAGGACAGTGCTTCACCATGGTGACACATTCCTAAAATAAACAATCTCTGAGCACTTAGGAGGTCAGTTCCCAAGTATGGACTGAGAAAAAAGGCTCAGAACAGGAATTACAAAATCAATTGTTTACAGACGCTAGTATATAATGGAAACAAATGAAGTGGGGTGGGGACTGACTGAGGTAAACTATAAGAAAAAAAAAGACCCACTCTCTACATAAGGGGGGGGGCAGCACCTAGGGGGCCCAGCTGATTGTTGCCATGCAGAAATCAGGACACAATGTTGCCAGATGTTCCAATTCTTCAAGAGAAATTGAAATTTGGATTTTATCATATCGATTAAAATAAAGTTAAATACTGTGTGAGGCCAAGAAAGTACATATAACAAGCCACATTCTGTCCAAGGGCTGAGAATTTGCCCTTGGGCAGAGTGTGGTTTAAAGGATAAAAGAGTTAGGTTACACCTATGATACTGGAGGTGAGAGAAGAACCTGCAAAACAGATCAGGCCTCGTTGGAGTGGAGGATTAGAACAGGAATGTAGTATACTACAAATACAGATGGGCAGGATACAGCTTAACTGCTAATGTTCTTCGAAATCAAGAATCAAAGTCCAAGAAGACTGAGCCTCTCAAAGTCTGGGAGCAAGTCTCAGTATGGCATCTGGTTCACAAAAGGACTCTCAAAAGTTAGTTAACCCTGACACTCATGAACTGAGGATCACACATATCAAATTAAAATTGAGAAGCTAAAGGAACCTGGTTCACAAAAGGACTCTCAAAAGTTAGTTAACCCTGACACTCAAGAACTGAGGATCACACATATCAAATTAAAATTGAGAAGTTAAAGGAACCTGGTTCTAAGAGAAAATTTTTAATAGGCAGGAGTTTTTAGAGATTAAACTAGGGGAAAAAGTTAAAGGCAAAGCAACTAGTAGTGCTCAAGAGACTAAATCAAGGAAAGATAAAATGAATTTGGACAAAAACATTAGCAGTAACAAGTAATAGAAGATACAGAGAACAAGGAGAAAGGAATTTACAACTAAAAATCATGAGACAGGAAAAGACGACAGAAGACTTTGGAAGCAATTTAATTTGGGTCACATTTATATATTGTATTTTCTTACCTCTAATGTGATCATTTTAATTTTCCTGAAATCAAGGTGATATTTACAAATCAATGTCATTTTCCTATCCACTCTGCTCAAAAAATAGTTCTAGAAACCAACAATGAATCTTAACAATTAATAACATCTTTGAATCATGGAAATGTGACATTATGCAGCAGCTCTCTTTTCTGTAGAATGTAAAATAACTAAAAAAGGGGAGCAGGGAGCTGCAGATGTGAAGGAGCCTAAAGGTAAATGGTGCCAATCAGAAATGATGAGACTTCTAAAGGAAAAGGAAGAACAAAAGAAAGACCTGACTAATCCTAAAATGTATCCAAATAGAAGGAGGCAGCCAGCACAGCCAGGAGGAAAAAATCAACCAGAGCCTCAAAATTAAGAGTTTACCCAAGGAGAAAGTATAGGACATGGTTGTCAAGAAGAAAGTGAACAGGATGAACATCAAGCCAAATATATCTTAAAAGGATATCTGAACTGAGAAGGTTTGCTGTAAGACCACCGACCTAACATCTAACACCCAAACCAGTCTTTTCATGCCTTTGGTCCTGAAAGCTTATAGAGAGAGGTAAAGTACAAACCCATGGCCTGTGTGAATAAGAACTCAAAGAAATCTGTAGTAAAACCTTCACATACCAAAGAATAATATTTAGGTACTGAGTAAAGAGAATATATATAAAATCACATTAAAGTGGTCAGTCACAAAGGTTGACCCATACCTAATGAAGAGATAAGTGGTAGTTTTTTTTGTTTTCTTTAATAAGGAGATCATGTGAAAGCAAGAAGTAAAAAGCAAAATGCCAAAATAAAAGAAGAGTAAAGTGAAGCATAAAAAAAGATGAAGAGTTTATAGTTCACTAGGGAAGACAGCTAGTTAGTTGTTGGGGCAGGGGATGACTAGAACTGAGGAATGGGCAATCTTTCTAAAGGTTTTCAAGAAAATCTACTAAATTCTAAATGTTCTCTCATAACTCTCATTTAGCCTATTCTACTACTTAGATAACAAGCAGAGAATAACAAAGCAAGGCACACACCACTTGTTAGGATATTACCCAGCTGGCAAACTCAAGTCCCTGCTCTGCAGCCAAACTAAATGGGACAAAATCCATGCTCTAAAATTCATACCTTATACAGAACGGGCTCTCATACATTTCTGACTCTTAATTTAAACAACTGTAAACAGTCTTGGTTCTCTCTCTGGTTTCATAAAAGCAGCAGCAAATATTAGGGGGAGGGTAGAGACAGCAAGTATACTTGATATCATTGCAAGTATACTTGATATCATTAAGAAATGACAGCTATAATGGAAGCAAGAAAATGGGCTACAAAAGAGCTGACAACTTCAAATATGGCCATCTCAAACAATTAAATGTAGAGGGCAAATCATCCTACAAATCTCAATAATCCTAAAGCATCACCAAACAAGAGCTATTCAGATGATGATCTGAGTACTCAAAAAAGACTATCTTAAGTTCCGAACACTCTTCACTAAGACAGAGTGAACTACTGTCCACATACAATTTATTTAAGATGGTTAAACACTTCTTAAATCTCATACAAGGCATAATTACCTTGAAAACGAAGTTGCATATTTTAAATTCCAGAACAAAAAGCACAGACCCTATTTTCTGGCCTTGCAAAACATGGGCTGTGGTAGCAAATGAGGCATAAAAACTTAGAACAAAAATTTCTGGATAACACGTCTGCATGAAAAGGCAAAAAGAACAGAGAACACTAAAGGGCGAGAAAACCTATGCTGTGAATACTGGCTTTGTCAGCTAATATCTCTGCTAGCCTCTTCAACTTAACCCCTCAGAGTCTCAGGTTCTTCACCTGTAAAGTGCAGATACCAGCACCACCCACAAAGCTATAGGTACTTAAAAAAAGGTGATTAATTATCCAGAGAAGTTGGGAATGAGTGGTGAAGAGAAAGCCAGATGTTCTTAAATACATCTTGGTGCTTAAAAAAAACAAAAACAAAAAAACTGCGTGGCTAATCAGCAAGCTTTAAATGAAAGCAGCTCAAAAGTAACTGTGAATCTTGTTTTGCATCTGTACCCAAAGACCTGGTCATTAGAGTTAGGTGCAAATTCAAGTTGCATCTTGCAAAATGTATCTAGTTTCTTCAACATTATCAGACCTCATTTCATATTTCTATCTTTAAATGAAAGGAGGTGAGAAAACACTCACCTTGATTGAAAGTCTTCATTATCTGTGCTTGTCCGAGGACTTATGAGTAGATGACAAATTAAGGGAAAACAACTTTGAAAAAAAAAAAAAAGGAATGGTGTCTCAACTTTTTAGTGCAGTCCTTCAGCTTGCAGGCCTAATTGGCTGTGACCAGCCTGGTAGCCTCAACTTCTACCAGCTCTGCTCGTCTGCTGCATCATCTTGCCCTTCTAATCCCCATGCCCCCAGCCCAAGGCACTCTGTTCCCTTTCTTCCTCTCAGTAGTAATACGACCAGAGAGAATCTAAATCCCTTGACGGCATAAAACAACCTCACAGTCACCACAGAAGTTAAAAAAAAAAATAAATATATCAAGTCTCCCACTTCCACATTTCGTACATTTGAGAGGGTTAACTGAAGAGACTATTTAAAAGCTAATAAGCCCTTAAACTTTATTCAGACCACATACTACAACGGTACAATTCTAAACATGACCAGTATCAAAGCTTTCCATTACACTGATTAAAAACTCCAATAAGATGAAAAGGATATTGTTTCTTCTCTTCCTTTCCTCCTGAACTGTCCCGTTTCTCTTTCTTTTCTATCTTTTCTTTATCATGCCTGGACTCCTATAAGGAATGGTGGAATTAGTTTGGGAAGGGAAAACCAAATACAAAAATCAGCTCAAAATCCCTTTTTATCACCCATCAGTCATACATTTTCTTCAAAAACGTATTTAATGATGCCAAAAGCACAAGCAACAAAAGAAAAAAATTGGACTTCATCAAAAACAAAAACTTTCATGCATCAAAGAACACTAGCAAGAAAGTGAAAATACAATGTACGGAATGGGGGAAAATATTTGCAAATCATACATCTCATACGGGTCTAGTATCTAGACTATATAAAGAAGTCTTACAACGGAGCAACAAAAAGACAAACAATCCAATTTAAAAATGGCCACAGCATCTGAAGAGATTTCTCCAAAGAAGGTATACAAATGGCCAACAAACACATGAAAAGATGCTCAACATCATTAGTCATTAAGGAAATGCAAAATCAAAACCACAATGAGATACCACTTCACACCCACTAGGATGGCTATATTTTTTTTAAAAATTAATAATTAAAAAAAACCCCAGAAAATAACAAGCGTTGGCAATGATGTAGAGAAATTGGCACCCTCGTACATTGCTGGTAAAACATAAGCTGATCAGCCACTGTGAAAAACAGTTTATCGGTTCCTCAAAAAGTTAAACATAGCATTACCATATAACCCAGAAATTCCACTCCTGGGTATACGCACAAGAGAACTAAAAACAGGTCTTCAAACAAACACTTCAGAGCAGCACACAAACATTCATAGCAGCACTATTCACAATAGCCAAAGGGAAACAACAAAAAAGTCCATCAACTGACAAATGGATGAACAAATGTGGTATATGCATACAATGGAATATTATTCAGCCATAAAAAGAAATGGAAGTACTGATACATGCTACAGCATGGAAGACTCTTAAAATATTATACTAAGTGAAAGAAGTCAGACACAAAAGGCCACATTATTATTCAATTCCATTTACATAAAATATCCAAAACTGGTAAGCCCATAGAGACAGAAAGCAAATTAGTAGTTGACAGGGACTAAAAGGAGAGGGAAATAGGGAATGACTGCTTAATGGGTATGGGGTTTCTCTTTGGGGTGATGAAAATGTTTTGGAACTTGATAGACATGATGATCGCACAACACTGTAAATATACTAAATGCCACTGAATTGTACATTTTACAATGGTTATTTTTATGTTATGTGAATTTTACCTCAATTTAAAAAATACTTATTTAAAAGGAGCAGCATCACTTTTAAAACATACAGAATTTTTTTAAGTAGGCTCCACACCCAGCATGCAGCCCAACGCAGGGCTTGAATTCATGACCCCGAGATTAAGATTTGAGCTGAGATCAAGAGCCAGAAGCTTAATCGACTGAGCCACCCAAGCACCCACGCACAGAGAAATTTTAAAACGGTTACAATTTTCCAAAACTGCTTTTAAGAACTATGACTATATGTACCATAATAATGCTTTTGAAACACTTTACACCTTAGTAATGACTTGCCTACTTTATGGCAGATGCATGAAATGTATTATAAATATCACCCATGAGTATCTAAGAAAATGCACACTATACTTAGTTTGAAAATCAAATACAAGTTGCAAACACATAAGTTTATTAGGAGAAAATGTTATAAAAATGTTTAAAAATTACAATTAATAAAGACTTTATGACAATGTAATGATCAGGGAGAAAGAATACACGACCATATTTTAATCTCATGAATGTAAAGAAACCAAAAACACTGTTGGCGAGGAGGAATAAAAGAAAACACAAAAAGAAAGGGTAAAGGGTAAAGCTCAATGAATAGAAGTAGGTGGGGGTGGAATGGAGAGAAAAGGAATTTCAGAGGTAAACTAATTCTACTCTTCCCATAATTTGGGACCCAACTGGCTGGAATTCCCCCCAGATAACCCGCCCTCCCCCACTGCCTCCTCTTCCCACCCTCAAACAATTAACCAAAGACTACTTGATTACCAAAAAAACTCAGTATCTGCTAAATACTCAGAGTCAATTTTTTAAGAAAAAGCCTTTTGTTCCTTTGTTTCCCTAATTTACCTTTTTGCCACCGGAGGAGATTTTATCCATCTTTTCAGATTTAAAAGAATCGCCGCCTTTTTCTTTGCCTGAAGATTTTGACTTATTTTTTTCCTTGTCTTTCTCATTTGGATAAGGAGACTCACATGGACTTTCACTTTTGTGTTTTGAAACCCCCACTAAAAGTATAAAAGAGAATCATGAAAGCCTCTTCTAGTTCAGTTTGACGACAGCTTCGAAAGCATTAATAAATCTACCTACTTGTTCCATTTTCCTCTTTTCGCCTCTTGGCTAAGTCCGGCGGCACTTCACGGTCATTGTTTGAATGATCCTAGAACCAAGAATTGTGAACTACATTGATCAAGAGTTTATGTTTTTGTTTTAAAATACTACTTTTATACAAGGGCACAGCTAACTAGCATTGGAGAGTATTGGCAGTCGTTTCACATTGTAAAATGACATGAAAGACAAGCAGAGCTGGTAGAGATTGTTAGGCTGAAGATCCTTATTACTGTAGAAGATTCAATTCAAACACATTTTAGGGTGAAAATACCAGTTAAAACACCAATAACAGCCTGCCATGCAACAAACTAGTACTTTAAAAAAGGCAACAAACACACTACCATACATAATATAATGGCTTTCCAAACTAGTTTTTAAAAAATTACAAACCCTTTTCCGCTCTTTCCTGTCCTTTTCATCTTTTTTCTCTCTTTCTCTGGATCTTTCCCTCGACTTGTCCAAGTCTTTCTTGTCCATTTCTCTCTCCTTACTCTTGGACAGTGGTGGAGGAGTATGATTAATGTAGAGCTGTTAAATTAAGGCAATATTACTAAAGATTATTAGTTTTCCAGTATTGGCATCATCTGCTTGATTGTTTATTTAATGAAAGACAATTGGTAGTTAGACCCAAAGTCAAAACTGGTCAGCTGTCTGGATTACAAGAGGTGAAATACAAGAGCATGGCACAAATTATGCAAAGACTTCAATTCTTGGCCTTACAAAAATTTTCATTTAAACTCAATCAGTTCATTCCTGTCTTAACTGAGACTCATGAGTAAATCTATAAGCTACAGTTCCTTTTATAACTCCATTGTGAAGATCTATAACCACCACTACAGAAGTCCATGTGAAAAATAATGACTGACTTTCTCTACTGTAAAAAAAAAAAAAAAAAAAAAAGATACAAACCTCTACACAGAGAAATTTCAGTTTTACCATCCACTTACAAGGCAAGTGAGCCAAAGTATAAAATAAAACCTAGCCATGACTTTACTAATAAGTCTTCTCTGCCTCAGCATATACCATGCATACATTATCCTAAATTATTTTTATAAATGTAAAGGCTGCATATTCTCTACTTCTGAAAGCACTCCAATTTCTACCAAATAATCACAACGGACTGTGAAATTTGTCTCACTGGTTCTAAATAGCTCAGAAAACCATTTGGTCAGCTGAGGATGATAAAAAAAACTCAGACTGAAAAATGATGAACTGATGTGTGCCTATTGTTTCAAAAGGCCCACAGGCAATAAACAGCCAAAGATCAAGAATGTGCTACCTAAATAATTAAGAGATAACCTTAATAACTTATGCAAGTTGTAAATATGGAAATCTAGTATAAAAGAAAACATTAAGGAAGTAATCAGATACCTATCCTTACAGCATTTATAACTGCTACAAGCTTATGTTCAATTTAAGACATTACAAGTATTAGGCAGAATATGAAATATAACTCATTACATAACTACACAATCCTAGATATACCTTAGGAATGAAAACAATAGTGAGTCAAAAGTCAAATAGTTTTACATGAGGAAATCCTCTGTAGTCAAAGGAATACATCAAAAAAAAGACCATCAGTTTGAAAATTAAAGAAACACTTTTTTAACACCACCAAATATTTTCAATTCAGTTGGCTCAGAAATACTGCCATTAACAATGCAGAAGTAGATTCTTTAAAATGTCAATGTTTAAAAGTTGATGATCAACTGAAATAGACAAAATTTTATTAATAACAAAGAGCAAGAGAATGAGAAACAGTCATAAAAGTGCTTGTCCGAATGGTACTCTTGCTGGGTTAATGCCCTATACAACACTTCAAGCTTTTCTAATTGTGAGGTTTATTCATATCTTAAGTTAATATTACTTATGAAAATGATAAGACAAAAGAAATAATATATTCCTGCAATACTCAAAGAAGATTTTTCTAAGGGAAGTATTGCTTAATTCTCCTGATAAAAGAAAAAAAGGGGGGGTTGTGATTACAAATAAGTACACACAAGCACATGCATGCACACACACACACACACACACACTCCTCGAGAATGAAGTTTTTAATTGTGCCTAACTTGAATTCTGTATTGCAAGGACCTGAGAAACCTATATATTCTTACTTTAGAAATGTACCTATTCTAGTCATTCTTCCTACCCTTCTAAGAATAGGTCTGATCACAATACTCTTTTCCACAGTAACATGCAGTCTCTCACTACCTACGGAATAAAATGCATACTCCTTAGCTTAGGTATTTCCAAGCTCTTCACAATCTTTGCACAATTATATTCTACTATGGGGCAACCCAATGCACTCTATGCTTTGGCTACCACTGGCTCCCTAACACCCTGTCCTTCCCAGCAGTTCTCTTCACCAGAATGGTAGCTCACTTTATCTTAATCTCTTAAAATCCTGCTAGCCTTCAAAGACAGCTCAAAAGCCATCAGCACTTCAATCATCCCTCAACTCTGCAACTCACTTTCCAGTGAATTCCTGTTATTATTTTATATTAACCTTTTCCTGTGAAAGGTATTCCCTATTAATTTCATGTCACTTATTCTTGTCCATAACAGTTTCCGGTATGGCAGGGAAGCTAATGTGTCTTTTCTACTTTTACACACTTCCTACTGCCTTGTACACAACCAAGTACTAAATACATGTTTGCCAAACCAAATGATTTGTTAAATTGATTTGCATATAGTGTTGATGGATTTTGCTTTTGATTTGCTTTTATTCTTTACATTGGGATCAACAGGTCCAAAAAACATGACTGATTTTCAAAATCTGTTAACACTGCTACACTGACTTTATTAAGGCTACCATATATAAAGATGGCCTCACTTGTAGGCTTCCCTTTGATTATAAATCCTTGTTTTAAGACGATGAACAAAATTAAAACCTGAATTCTGTTTTGAGTGGTCACTGCTGCCCTCCTCAATTACAGAGAAGCTTGGGTAAAGAAAATGCTTTTCACACTTTCATCAAATGTAGCTGCCAAGTTTGCTAGGTGAAAACACAAGTGACCAAACTGAAAATATGCCAATTGGAAATTGGGGGTGGAAGGTAAACAGAAACAATTTGGATACTAAGCTAGATTTTTCTCCCTTTAACAAATCCCACTTGAAAAGCCAAATCCATGTATTACTTTTACCATGGATTAGAAGGTGAAAATAATAAGTAATTTAATAAAAAAGAGGATCCCAGGGAAAAAGCGTAACTAAAAAATTAAAGCACAGAAACAATTTTATATGTACAACTGACAAGAGAACACGAAAAATATACACACATCATTCAAATCCTCTAAAAAGTAAAAGCTACCCCAGAAACAGTGAGTTGATATAGATCGTCAATTTTAAAGATCACTCAAAGTCCGGTAACGTTTTTTTGTGGGTTGTTTTTTTTTTTTTTTGTAAGACATTCATATGCTATTGAACTTTCCTAGACATATAGAAATGCAGACCAGTAATCTGTGGATGCTTTACCAAAGTCCAAAGGCATAAGAGTTCATTTCAAATAGTTATTGAACACCTAATCATATCACCAAGTTAACCATACTGAGCACTAAGGATCTGAAAAGTGGTATGAGTCACACGATTTTTACAAGTGCATTCAGATGCCATTTTCAAAAATTTCTGACTGAATGTGGAATAAATCTATTGAATTTTAAATATCCAGAAAATCACTATCTTTTTTCAAAGGGGGATAGGGAGACTGACTTAAAGCACTATAATTTCAAAAACAAGGCAAACACACTAAAGGAGTTAGGAACCCATTTCGACTACCACTGAAATGGGTGCTAAGAATCAAGGGACCATATATTTTTTTGCAATTTTTTTTTTCATTGTGGTAAGAATACTTGAGGAACCTTAATTTTAGTCCAAGTTTTGGTACTACTAACAAGTTATATGCCACTGGGAAAAGATCAAGAACTTTTTCAGTCCAAAAGACACTACCCTCCTGCCCTATCTACCTCACAGCACTGTTATGAGCATGAAATAACATGTTTATCTCACATGTTTTATTTTCAAAAGACTTTCACAAATGTAAGGAACCATAATTTTCATCATTGATGAGAAATTCCAGTTAACTATAACAGCAGGTTTCAAACTGCTTCAAAGTATGTTTCAGGAAATAAATACTCACAAGGTAACATTGTTAACCCATGAATTTAAAATAGCCCACACAAGCCACTGATGGTTAAGACTGACATACACAATCCCAAACTGGTTATGAAAACCAACTGTATTGCAATACATACTTATTTTAGCCAATAAAAAGTTTTACCTTAAAAGAAAGCATTCACACAGTACAGCTAATACTCTTTTGATTAATACAGTATACTCTAAAAACAATGCTACAATTTCAGGACAAAGGCATATTGGCTAACCTAAACTATTAAAAAATTAGTGCTTATTGCCCAATATCCACAGACATTTCATTATAAAGCTACAGATCTAAAAGCAGTTAGTAATGTCAACTGGCTTTGTTTCAAAATTTCATTTTGTATTGGTCCACCAGTAAGAGATAATACTTAGCAGATATAAGAGGAGGCAAAGTAGAAAATCAAAGTGAAAGAGGGTACAAATTTTATAATAAGTAGACAAAATAACATGAACAATGGACAATTCAACTACAATAATGAAGTGAACTCTGTAATAAGATACACAAACTGCACATTATTTTTAGTAGAAGAATACTCAAGAAAGTAGAGTAATAGGCAAGAATTAATACTGACATGTAAACACGACCATCGGGTTGAGTATTCCCCTCCAAGAGAATGATTAGTTGACATTAACCAGATTTCTTGATAATTATGCTACAACTACCAAAAAGGTAGCTCAGCAGAGGCAATAGAGTTTTATGGATTGAGATGGGCTCAGTTTTTAGAACAGTACGTGAATGCATCAAATTTCTTTTCTGGTCTTTTGGGTTGTCTAAAAAAGTCAGAAAACAACCTAACGGATTTGTTTTGAGAAATTAAATAAGCTTACTCCCCAAAACAAACCAACAACCGCTTCCCCAAACCTTAAACTTATTTCCAGATTTTGAAGCATAAAAGGATAATGCATAACACAGCAAGCAAAGAGAGATTATAGAAATGTTGCCACATTACACGCATTTGATAACAATCTCATTAAAAGGGACCGTTGTCATCCATTGTTTCAGTTTGTGATAGGTATTTTTAAAGGTTATTCACTAGCTTACTGAATTTACTAGGGTGAAGGTATCTACTAAATAAATGAAGAATTTTTTTGTTTTACTTAGGCATGATGATTTTAAAAGACTCAAACCTTTGCTGAAGACTCCTTGAGTTCGATGAGACTGTCCTGTAGAAAATGAATGGAGATGACAGGTGAGCTGGCATAGTTCTCAGAACCCAGAGGAACTTTGGGAAGTATGGCTGTAACCTGGAAATAAACCAGCTACTTCTTGTGAGGATAAATCTTGTGATGTCAATTATTATATGAATATCAACAATAAAAAAACAAAAGCAAAACCATGTAATGGAATTGTAATGTTAAAAAAACTAAATTATATGTGCTCAATGTAACAAATAAAAATCTTTCTCTGCTCATAATTTAAAAATAAATGTCAATGCCACATTTTTCATAACACTGTACATAAACTATAAGTAATGTTAAGAGGCTTAAGAAAGCAAAACACTTTTTCCCTCCACAAAAAGTTTAAAACAGTGGAGGTCACTGTGGAAGAACATTATCTTACATTTTCATAGTTGTTCTTTAATTGGGAGGTTTCAAATTTTACTTTACTTATGACTCTACCATAAATATAGACATTCTTAATCCTAACCAAAAAACTCAGTGGCATTATATTAACAAGAAAACAAAATGTATTCTCTACAAGAGTAGTCACTTTTTTGCAAAGTGCCTCTGATGGTGAATCTCATACCTCCCACAAAAAAAGCACTTAAAAAAAAGAAAGAAAGAAAAATAAATCAATTATGGTATTCCACCACAGTGCTCTTGATGAAGAATTAATTAACTTACAGTTTTAAAAGTTCAACGTACTGCAAATTCAAAGATTCCATGAAATTAGATGACTTTAGAATTAAAATTAAATATGGAGCAAGGAATGGCTACCCTGAGTCTTCAAGAAGGCTACACCCACGATTTTGTGCTGCAGTTGAATGCCTGGGGTTTCTCTTTGCTGGGTGGTAGGATTGGATGCCACATCTGCTTTTATCGTAACGCAAGGTTCAACTTGTTGGGAACCCAATGGGTATAAACAAACCTCCAAGGGAAGATACAACAGAAGCTGCATGCTCACTGAATATACACAACTACAGGAGAACTGATCACCAAGGAGACTTTAAAATGGAACTCCTTTCAAGACTCCTTCTTAGAAGGCACACATCGGTATGATGCTCATCAAGAAGCTTGATGAATTCAGAGGTATCTTGTTTATCCTGTATCATCCAGGAAGTCTTCAGGGCTATATATTCTTCAATATTTATGCTGAAAAATAGGCTTCATTCTGCTGAAAAGATTCATTTGCTTGTAGCTACCATTGCACTCCAAAAAAGACTGCTTAAAGCAGTGAGGCACTTCTGGGTAAAATTTTTCTTGCACTTTGAAACACTACAAAATTAGTGCTAGGTCCTTGAAGTTTTAATATTTTTATAATAAAAATACTCAATAGGAAAAAAATATCAGTCCACCAATATGTAAAAAATTCATTTTCTAATGCAATATAAAACCTCCAGTGGCTCCAGTGAATACTTGGCACAAGACTTGAAGGAAGTCAGGACACGTATTCCAACCAGGTGAGCCTAACATGGACGCTGCCTTCCTCAGGCTATACTAACCTTTACTGTTGAGGAATGTGATGGAGAAGGGTGGGTATCAATTTTGCGGCGTTTTTGTTCTGTTGGTACAAAAAGAAATGGTCATGGTAAGATAGATTTCTACTTTTCCCAAACACTTAAAAAATCACCACTTTTAGGATCACTTTTAAAATCACCTTTAAGGTCATCAAGTATTCGCTCCCCACCCCACCCCCCAAGTAAAGTCCCTAGATAACTTGCCAAAACAAGGAGACAAGAACCAACTACACATAACAAGAACCGAAAGTAAACCATAAATAAAGGCGAACTTGCCCCTTTCAGGCTCTGCAACATCTGATCGGGGAACAGGTGACTTCAAGGACCCAGAAACTGGTGTTTTTTCTCCTCCTTTAACATTTTCCTTTGATTTCATTTCCTTTGCTATATCTCTTTCTCTGGATGGCTCCTTCTCTCTTTCCTTTTCTTGAGTCGATTTTGATTCTACGTTGGCAACAGTGGTTTTGAATTTCTCATCTTTAGCTTTTTCTTCCTTCTTGAATTTTTCTTTCTCTTTGTCTGACTTGGGTGTTCTTTCCTTCGTCTCTCTTGCTTTTTCATCTTTATTTGGCCGCTCTTCCTTCGGTTTTTCTTTACCATCTTTACCAAGTATCCTGGCCTCTGGAGTAGTAGCTGGAGTCTTTTCTTTTTTCTCTTTTTCTTTCTCTTTCCCTTTTTCTTTGTCATTTTCTTTAACAGCTTTGCTGCTTAAAAATAAAAACACAAGATTTTAAGACAAACAGTCATAAAACATATTCCATGTTATAAATCCTAAAGGGTTTCTTACTGACTTCAAAAATAAAAGAGTAGCCCTTTGAAATCTCAAAGACCTTAAAGACAAGTAAAAAGGAAGTACTTCTTTATTCAGTAAATAATAAATGACCAAATTCATGAACAGCAGATTAAAAAAGAATGACTAAAGTGATGTCAGGCCGTTCTTTGTATATGTTCATAACCTCTGAGGATTACAAGGTCACAACCAAAAATTATCCCACAAGCCGATCAAGGGTGCTATTATCAGGAACTGGATTACTTAGCTGGATGGATCACTGGTCTAAATCAGTGTAGGCTTCTCTTATGTTCATTATCCTTACCCAGAATGCCCACAGCAAGCACTCAATCCTAAAATGCTTTTCTAACTTCACCACCTACCTTCATCTGCATAACTCAGCAGGGGAAACAATGTCAGTCTCAGCATTATATAAAACATAATGAGGATAGTTAAGCGCATCACCAATTAGGGGTACACACAAAATTTCAAGGTCCAACAAAAATGACTTTCATAGTATTCAACTACCACCCTGTTTCATTCATGTCTAATGAGGTTAATCATATAAGAATTCAGAATTCTGACATATAGCCAGTGTTCCTACCTGTTAGAGCTACTGTTTCCATTGCTTGAATTCCCTTTCGGTGTGGCACTAGAAGCTTTATTAACAGCTTTCACACCACACTGAGATCTCTCCCTTGATTTATCTGAAATAAAGGTAAGGTTTTATTTGACAAGCCCCTAATTGTAAATAAACTATCATTTCACAGCAAAATGATTAGAGATTAATTAGAAAGAAACAAAGGGCTAATTTCTTCTTGACAGTTACATACTCCTACCTAAGGAATAAACTATAATACTAAGCCAACATTTTATTTGTCATGTGATATAAAACAGCTTAGTTTGTTGAAACAAAATGTATTACTTATAAATTTCTACAAATAAGCATACCAGTCTCCTCAGTACTGCTTTCATCCGACTTAGACGCACTTCCTATCGACGATGAAGAAGGCCCACCACCAGGCCCATTTTGTACACTGGCAACTGCATTCCTCGGAGGGGGGTCTTTGTGATGAAACTCATTTTCAGGTATCATGTATGACTTTCTACTTTTCAACTGCCCAGAGTAGCTGAAAGTCGCACAAAGTGTTTAAATATACAAATACAAATCAAAAGCACAAACATGGAGTTTAAAAGAATAAAATTAGCAAATTATTCACTCTGCTACTTGGTTTCAGAGAATAAAAAATACTAATTTTCAATAAGTTCCTGAAGGTCTTTATAGAGAGCCCCAAATGCTTTCTTAAAAAATAAAAATTTCAATGTAAACTAATCCTTAAACTAAGATGCCTTTTTTTCACTACTGAAGATCCAAACCTCAACTGACGATAATAAAATTACATTTCCTCCAAACCAAGACATATTGTATATCACTTTTGAAACTATCATCCAGTATAGACCGGAAGCTGATAATCAGAAGTGACAACTCTCACCAGCCTGTGGGAACATGATCGCATAATCTCCCATAATCTCCTGAAGTAAGGCAGAAGATAAACTTCAACACTGTAAAACATTTTAAAGTCTTCAGAATCCTTCTGTCATCTAGTCTCATAAATCACATTAAAGTATAATTGTGTTACCCCATAGCCAATGCATATAGATCTGGCCTCTTCTCTTTTTCTTCTTGGCAGATTTTATGCACTCTTCTTTCCAAAGCCTGACCCAAATTCAAAACTTTTGGGTACCAAGGAAGTATTTTTGTTAGCACAATCAAGATATTCCTGATGTGAGTATATTCGCCTGTTTCAAGGCAATGTACGGATGCCTACAACAAACATTTTAAGATCTATTATTACAAAAGTATAAGTATAAAGAGAAAAACCACCTTTGAGAAACATAATTTTTTTTTACCTTGGTTAGTTTGTAATGCCATTTATGTACAACATGTCGAAAATTTTCATAGTCTAATTGGTCAGCTTTATTTCCACCATCAAATCCAGTGGCCCGTAATATAGTAAGGAATCCTGGATAATTTCCACATTCCTTGGGGGGGAAAAAAAAAGGTTGTTAAAGAAAAATTCTGCCCCTAAAATAGCAGAAGCTGAAAACTTAAGTGGACTAGATTAACGATTCCACGCAAAAACAAGATGTGTATTTGAATGACAGGTAGTTTTCAGAGAAAGGTTCAACTTATTCAGTGGTAGGAATTTGGAATGTCAGTTTGAGATAGATTTTTTTAAAAAGCACTTTTTAATAATGAATGAATGATGTTTAAATTTTAAACACTGTTTTACAACTGAATCTTAAACTCAGCTTCCCTTTCAGAACTGAACCTAAAGATTACTGAAAGCTGCTGTTAGATACATGTAAATGTAAGGGTGTTTATTAGCCATACCTTTTCATACGTGGCTCTGTCACTGTGCCACCTGGTCACAGTCTCTAACATGCAGCAAAGAAATCTCCCATACCGACTAGCTTCATTTTCAGTACAGCTTGCAACTGTGTAAATTATATCAGAGAAAACCTACAGGAAAAATGTTTGAAATATAAAAACAAATCAAGGTCAAAATTAGTTCAAAATAGTAAAAGGTTTTTATAGCAAATAAACTGGTTTAGTCAAAATGTATCTTCCCCTTTTACAGTCACAATTCCAGAAATCTTTAAAGATTTTGGCCTTTGTGAGGAAACAGCACATTCATAAAGCAACAACAACAAACTTATTTGAAAAAACTGATTTACAATGACAGTGGAAAAAACTATCATTATTATTACAACATAACTTCTTCAACAAAGACTTAGCCATAGATATTATTGGGGTTAGGGGGACAGTAAGCAGAGGCGAGGCTGACAGAAACTAGAAATAGGCAGCTGACATGCTGTGACATATACTACATTTTAAAACCACAAATGCAGTATTTACTAGTAAGAAAAAAGCCAGATGCAAAAATACATAAATGTAACCATACTGAAAAGCATCCCTGCTTTTATGTATGTGTGAAGGTGTAAGCTGTTTTGTTGTTTTTTTGAGGGGGCGAAGGTTAAGAAAAGAGTTCTATTATGACAAACATATAAACCCATACTATGAGTTACTAGATTAACTAGGGGTGCTTATTACATGTCAGGCACTATTCAAAGCACTTTTGTGTGCAGTGACTCATTTAATTCTCACAACAATCTCATGAAGCAAGTACTCTTATCCCATTTTACAGATAAGAAAACTGAGGCACAGAGAGGTTTAAAAAACTTGCCAAAGATCATATAGCTAGAAAGCAGCAGAGCTAGGATTCAAGTTCAGGCACTTGGCTCTTGAGTTCATGCTTTTAACCACACACACAATAATACCTCTATAGATTATAATGTTTACCTATCTTTGTGTGAGTTTTTTTTTTTTTTTAAAGGTTGCAATAAAAAGAACTTACTCGATCATAGCAAAGAAGTGTGGAAAAATTTGGAGTTTTCTGTTGATGTACCAATTCAACAAAACGAGCACAGTAAACAGCATCAATTGCTGAAAAAATACATCGAGGAAATATACACAGCTGTAGAAATTTTGTGATGGTCTCATTTTTGGTAGATTCTAAAAATAAGGGAAGAATATATTAAGTGGTAAACTTCTTCCTCAAGTGCCTCAAGACCACTAAACATGACAACATATTAATTTTAGTGTAGAGAATGCTATAAAAAAAACCCCACAAACTCCTTATAGTTTGTAACCAAAAGGTCATGTCTGGGATAAAACTTTCACTTTCACTCTGTGGACATTTTTCTATCTATAACTTCTCCAGAAACATGATTTCATACAGAAAGGTTGAATGATAAGCTGCCAATATTGTAGTTATAAGTTAATTTCACCAGCAAACTAAAACAGTTCCTTTGGTGAACATGTGAGGTCGACTCTGCATTAATGAATAACCAAAGAATGGGATAGTGAACACGGAGCTGAAATACAAACATAATACACTTCAACACCTCTGAAGTTATAGAGGTTTGCTTTTGTAATTTGGCAGTAGCAGGAACATAACAATTCCAACAACCTACTTGCTAAAAGCCAGTTGTCCTTTTCCAGTTTCAGTCTCTGTAGAACTCGCTGTACGTGTTCCATCTGTTTCTTTTCTTCTTCAAGAAGCTTGTCCTGAAGGGCAGTACAACGCTCTTTCTCTTTTTTCTTTTTATTTGGAGGCTACGAAGTATAAGTTAGATACTTTTCTAACTACACGCACATTACCTCCCTTCCTTTTAATTAAAAAATTCAAAAAGAGATCAGGGCTGATATTTTATATTAACCACTTCACAGGGATATTGAGGAGTCTACCTGGATGTGCTTTCACCGCCATTCAACAAATTCAAAATCTGGTCTTCACATCAAAACAGGCTACCTTCCTAGCCCTCATACTTTTAGTCTCAGGCATGAAGTCATCTCTGACTCTTCCTTCTCCTTCATTCCAGCATCCCGACTGCTTACAAGTCTCATGCATTCCCACTACCTCCACCAATAGTCTATGTTCTCAGTACTTCACAATGAATTACCCTAAGAGCCACCTAGCTGAACTCCAGCCTTGATGCCAGTCCCTTCCCCTAAGAAATGTATCCTTCAAACCACTGTCAAGAGTAATCTTTCTAAAGTACCATTTTTACCATTATCACTTCCCTGCTGAGGAATCTAATATAGCTCTCAATTTTATCAAGTCTTCTTTTCTAACTTTCATTTCTCTACATAATCTGATCCCATCCTAACCATTCAAATTTATCACTAAGCCCATTCACTACAGTAAAAGTGGTCTCTTTAAATCTTAAATTACTTCATACCTTTGCTGAAGCTCTTGAGTGGCCAATCTGCCTCCCTATTTCCAAACCTAATCTACCTTCAAAGCCTACCCAGCTCAAGACTCAACTCTTCAATAGTCTTCTCCTAAAGAGTTCTCCTTTTGGGAACTCCTATTACTCTTGCAACTGGAGTCACACAGATTATTTTACATTGCTAACACAACTTCAGTTTAAAAAAAAAAGACAAACTCAAATACCTTTTGTGTGATCATAACTGCCAGGTATTCACCAAGCCCCTGCCCCACCCACTGGGAGGTCACCATTAACTCACTTAGGAAAATATTATATAGCAATAAGATCACAGCTTTAAGGAACCTTAGCTAATACAAAGCATGCGTAATATTAAATTATTACCATGAAATTATTGTACTGGAGCTACTAGAACAAAAACCTACCATTTCCTGATTGTCATCAATTGCTTTCATCTGGACTTTAAGTTTATTGACTTCCCGTTCATAGCTGGTGTGTGGAACTGCAAGGTCATACATTGTCAATGACCAGAATGTGGCATAGAACTGAGGGCTGATGTCATCCCAGACTTTGGAAACGTGTAAGGAGACCACTGCTTCATGGACAGGAGCCATCACCATTTCACATGATGTAATGTACTTGTGAACTTTATGTTGCTGTTTACTTCCCTTTTCTGATTTTTTAAGTTCATCATATTTAGACTGGAGATAAAAAGTAAAAACAAACACAACACAATTTATAGCACTAACTTTCACAGTATAAAAACCTATGTTCCCTTTTCAAGAATCAGAAGACAACTAATCAAAACTGTTGTAGGAATTCTAAGTTCTTACCAATGATATTTATTTTAAGATAAATCATCCCTGGAAGCTGTTCTCATCTTTCGTCCTGTGTGATCACTAGAAGCTTTTAAGATTATTAAAAACATCGGGTATGTGTACCCCCTCCACCATCCATATCTTCCACCGTACTCTCGCTTACTACTACATTAAGAATTGAACATGTAGGGTTTCCACTCCAGCTTTTAAGATCTTCAAGGGAACTAGTAACAGCCAACCAGCACAGTATGCTTTATTACTACACATAGCCCTTATTGGCCATTACAATTTGTCAATTAAGAAAGTGGATCCAGGGCGCCTGGCTGGCTCAGTCGGTGGAATGTGCAACTTTTGATCTCAGGGTTGTGAGCTCCAGCCCCAGTTTAGGTGTAGAAATTACTTAAAAATAAAATCTTCAAAAAAAAAAAAAGAAAGAAATTGGATCAACATTAAGAAAGGCTATGAGAAAGTTACTTTAAGACTGCTAAGTAGGGTGACTAACTGTTCAGGTTTGCCAGTGAATGAGAGGGGATTCCCAGGATGTATAAGAGTATAGTGCCAAAACTGGCAAAGTCCCAAGCAAACCTAAATAAGACTTTTTTTATTTTTAAGATTTTGTTTACTTATTTCAGAGAGAGGGAGTGAGCATGCACAAGAGAGAGCAAAGGCAGTGGGAGGGGCAGAGGGAGAGGGAGAAACAGATTCCCCACCAAGCAGGGAGTCCAACACAGGGTTCAATTCCAGGACGCTAGAATCATGACCTGAACTGAAGGCAGATGCTTAACCAACTGAGCCACCCAGGTGCCCCTAAGTAAGACTTTCTATGAATGGATATGGTATATTAGTTTAAAGCATGTGGGAATTGACACTGCAGCTTTTTTAGACTGGACTGGTTTATCCTAATTTGGAAGAGAGTCAGAGGAAGGCCATACTCTTAAGAGTATGAGGAAAAGAATCTGTTAGTACAATGGGAGGGAACTACATATTAGTTCACAGAGCATAATACCAAATGTAAAAAAGAAAATAATACAAAGTGTTGTTGCTATTGTCTCATGTCCTTCAGTCTCTTTAGGATGAAAATTTTGTTTGGGTTAGGCATCATTCCTGAAGATGAACCTAAGAGGAGATTAAAACATTTCTTTTTGTTAGAAAAGCATTTAAATCATCAGTTTGTGCTAAACATGGAACCCAGAACTAGAAGGTCAGAGGTCAAAGGTTCCACTTCCAGTTCTGCATTGTGGTAGGCAAGAGTCTTGGCTCCTTACACTCCAGCTGTCTTCCCTCCTAAGTGTCTCTATACCCCAGGCTAACTGGACTGAAGATATACCAAGTACTTTGTTCCAGAGGGTATCTCAAGCAGCATCTTACAATTATTATAATTACAATCTGAGACTCTTACAATTTTTCTGTAAGTGGATTTACCTTCTGTTACCCCCATTTTAGAGAGCATGCTGATAATTACTGAGACCACACAGGTGACAAAACTACAAACAATATTCCTTATGAGAGAGAAGTCCCAATTACATCACAGACCTGAGAGAATAACAGCAAGGATAAGGAAGCACTTTTACACTTTGAGGGCAGGTCCTGTTAATGGTAACGAGTATCAATCTCTGTGAGGAAGAATGACATCTGCTAAGGTTCTAACAAAACATAGGGTAAGCAGTGCCGAAACTACCTGTATAGGATAGCTTAACTACCTGATTTGGGCAAGATCTAGAATATGAACTGGGTGGAGGAAAGCCTTTCTTTCAGAACTGTGTTACAAGGTGGATCTCAACAATTAGAACTAAAAATTAGGTTTATAGGTATGAGAGGGTAATGATGTGGTACAACAGCCCCCATCTCCCCAGTCCTCGGGTTCTGAATCTGTCACTTGTATTGCTAGGTACCCACCTAGTCCCTATCTAGTTAAAAAAAAATTAGGCTTGATCAGAAAAGACAGCTATACTTCATATTTAACTAGGATGAATAGTTCCTGGTCTAAAGTTAGTTTAACTCCTTTTTCAAGCTTACACCTTCAGTCAAATGGAGAGGCATAACAGCTCTACATCTCAAGTCACCCAGTGCACTAAATCTATGAAATAGAACTGATATCCACAGTTACTGCTATACTTCTAATTCCTGTTCAAAAAGCTCTTGTTGCCCCAATAACCCGAACAGTGTTTGGTTGGCTGAATTATTCCCATGAGAGCCTACTAGTAATCAATTTATGGAAGGGTCCTAGCAGTCCTCCAATATTCATACCCTCTCATCAAAGGCTCTTCAAGAGAGGCTCTCGGGTGCCTGGGTGGCTCAGATGGTTAAGCGTCTGCCTTTGGCTCAGGTCATGATCCCAGAGTCCTGGGATCGAGTCCCGCATCAGGCTCCCTGCTCAGTGCAGAGCCTGCTTCTCCCCCTCCCTCTGCCATTCCCTCTGCTTGTGCTCTTCTCTCTCTCTGTCAAATAAATAAATAGAATCTTTAAAAAAAAAAAAAAAAAAAAAGAAAGGCTCTCATCCAAGAAGCAAAAGCAAGGATCCCCAGGAAGTTTGGGTGTCCATCCAGTGCAACCAAGGTTGCCAAAGAACTCCTTTTCCAGAGGGTGTTATGTGGCCTATTGGTAACAGACTTATCCCTGATTTGGCTGTACAGCCACCTCTATAGAGTTCTTTGTTTTCCTCTGCAACCCTGAGACGGGAAATGACATTTCTTTTAGATTTTTGTATCTCTTAAATGACAAAGACACAATATTTTACACAGGCTACAGAAAAGGTAGCTTTTGGTATGAATGACCTGCTCCATTTCTGACCTGGAAAAGTTCAGCCAACCTCAGGCAACCAGGTGTTCCTGCTTGCTAGGGTTCAATATTGCTGATTAGTGTGTTAACTTCTCAATATAGCACAGGGCAGGTCAGAATTCCTGAGATGAAGCAACTCTCCCACCTCAGTCCTTCAAGAAATCAGGTCCCCTGTTGTATAGCTGAGACTGATCTACTGTGGGGTGGGGTGACAACACAAGACATAACTACGCAAAGAGAGCACACGATTTTCCAGAAAGATTCTAAAGGAGGAAAAAAGAGGCTAATCCTACCCCCTGTCCTTTTTTCCCTTCTAGAGAATATAGCACAGTATTGCTGTGTAATGCTAATCAAGTGATAACTGAATCAATTAACAGTTACTTGTTAGAGGGAAGTGTGACACTGTAGCAGTTGATATGTAAACACTAACAGCTGATGGCCAATTAAATGATCAATTAGACCCCAAATTTCTCAGCGTCTTTTTTTTTTTTTAAAGATTTTATTTATTTATTTGAGAGAGAGAATGAGAGAGAGAGAGCACATGAGAGGGGGGAGGGTCAGAGGGAGAAGCAGACTCCCTGCTGAGCAGGGAGCCTGATGTGGGACTCGATCCCGGGACTCCAGGATCATGACCTGAGCCGAAGGCAGTCGCTTAACCAACTGAGCCACCCAGGCGCCCCTCAGCGTCTTTTTTCCACACCTCTGCTACACAACCCTATGTTCCTACTGGGAACAAAGAAGGGATCCTACTTTAAGAGAAAGGACCAAGGTCTTCCCCCAAAATCTGTAGTGAAAGCCTTCCTTACACAGTACAGACTTAAAACCAACAACAAATAAGCAGAAGGGCCAGAATTCAAGCCTACACAAAGATGAGAAATGTGCTGGGGGGCTCCAGTCAGAATGGAGAAGTACTATAGTTTCCAAACAGAGGCCTGACCATGGTCTGAAGGAAAAGGAAGAGTCAATTCACATTAGAGGTCATTGCTTTGCAGGCAGGAGTCCAGGCGGCAGAGAAGAGGAGGGAAGGCAGCCTCCTCTTCCCCCAACCATCCTTACAGTCACTGCTGGGATGCCCTGCTTGGGAAGGCTCTGGTTTGCTTTTGTGCTTTTCTTTTTAGTTGTCTCATTTAGGTGGAGAGAAATAAAACAAGAACTATGAATACCTTTCCGAGAAGTTACATAACACAACCTACAAGAGTTTTTAGAGTGGTTGGGGGTGGTTAGGTCTTTCTGTCTGTATTTCTCTTAAGGCAGTATGAATAGCAAGTCAACTGACAGGGATATTGTTACTGAGGAAAGAGGACTCTGTATTCAATAGGAGTGTTTCGCAGAATCACCTACCAGATTTCCCTGCATCAGAATCAACTAGCGCTTGTTAAAAAACAAACAAAAACAAAAACAAAACAGAAATTCCCAGGTACTACTGAAGTTACTACCATTAGAATCTGGGGACACGGGATTGAGTTTCAAAGATGCTTCGCTGGTGACTCTCATCTACACTGTTTGAGTGCTATAGTTTTAAAGGGCCCATAAGACATCAACCTGGACAACTGGGGGTATAGTACTAGTAAGACTTACTTTTAAAGGGAGCATTTTCATTGTACACTGCTCAGAGATGAGTATTAACAAAAGAGTAACTCTCTAAGAGACATAATCTGCATCTGTGTCAAACTAAAATACATTTACAGTTAAGAAATAATTTGGAATCATTCTTGAATGGCAGCAAAGACACTTACACTTACCGAAATATGGTGTGCATACATTGGCCTAGACAGGAAAAATGCTGCATCATGGGGTGTATGAAATTCGTTACAGAGCACATCAATTGAAGGCACTCGCTTTATATAATCTTCTGTGCTTAGATTAGATGCTAAAAACCCACCAAACTGTACCAGGGTATCATGACACTAAATTTAAAAAAATAAGACAAAAAACACAAATGTGCTACCATTTTATGAAACATAAAAATTTTCCAAAATAATTATAATGTCATTTTAACAGTATTTTGATTAACATTTAAGAATTCAAATTTTACAACTTAAAAGAACTTTAGAGACAATCTATAAACATCATCATGTAATCGTATTACCAAAAAAGATGCCAAGGCCCTGAAAAGTTGATCTAAGGCTTTAATAGTCAACGAGGTCTCAAGTTCCAAGCCACTGTTCATCACTTTTAGTAACAGGATATATTTACCCTACATCACATACAACAATTTTATGTATACAGAATTTCCTTGCCCTTAAAAGAGTAAAACTTCATTTATAAAATATATGTGATCTTTTTTCCCTTGTAATATAGTTGGTGATAAACACATTCTGTAGGCTAATCACAGGTTTTGCTGCTTAATATTTATGATATATTTTATAAAGATCACATCTACTTAGTTCTGATTGAAATTCCACATTTCCAGAGATCAGGAAAGATATGGGAGCAAACAACTTGAAGTTAACTACTTAACTCAAAACCTTGTACATATTATTACATCTCCTACAGCCTTCTCTTAAATACCATAATTTGCACAGAAACAGCCCCTATTTCCAGAATGTCTATTTTACATTAGAGTTGTTTCACACTCATATGATGTGCAAAATGGCATCTTAAAAATTTTATCACATTCTATATTTTCCATTATCAGGATAAAAAAATCCATATAAACACAAAAGCCACTTTAACTTGCCTGATCATAGAGTTTTCCCACAAGTTTCAAATGTTTCTCTCCACCTTCTTGGAAGATTACCCCATTCCTCTGCTGAGCCATAAGCAAACAGAGAGGAAGAGCAAGATCATGATCCAACAGCGCATCCTTTAATCTCTGGGAGGATTTTTTAGTGTTTCTGATCTGGCCAAAATAACCACCCTGCACAAGAGAAGACATAAACTTAACCAGTGTACAGTACATTAACACATGTTATCTGATTTGAAAAAGACATAGAAAAGGCTCAGTTACAATCCTGAAGATAAAAAAAACCTTTACGTTCCTTCACACATTTATTTTAGTGACACTGTTGTTGGTTAGAGTCATTGGCTTAAAGATAACTGTCAATTGTCTTTAAACTTCTGCATATTTTCCATTTTCTACCTTGCAGTCCCTTATAAAGGATTATTCTTCATTCAGTATGGAACAGATTCAACAACAGAGTAACTATGTTCAGATTTACACCAGTTAGGATATCAAGGACCACAGAAGACTTGATATTTACTTCTCTTATAGATGTGACACTGTCTTTTATACTTTGTTTCAGCTTTTTGAAAGGGTTAAAGCAACTAGTATATCAATTTTTGAAAGGGAGATGAGGGCAGTCATGAGGGAAGGGTACATATGGCTTTGACATTTGGCTTCATGTACTTATGTGTTGTCTGGATTCTTTAGTATGAGCATGCATATATCTGGAACTTAAAAAATCGATTAAAAAAATTAGCAACTCTCACCTCAGCTTTTAGTTGCTCTCCACCAGTCATGGCCTCTAGTTGCTCCATCGTCATTTCCTCTGTAATTTCTATTCCTGCCATTTTTTGTACCACTTCTTTCAATATAAGCAGGTCAAAACTATTTAGATAAAATAAAATAGTCTGTAGTTGAAACTTCAAACATAAAAGTGACAACATATATAATTAATATGCTGAGAATCCCTAAATTATTTGTATATAAATATGGAGCGGAAGGGGCTGGAGTGGTTTTTAAGGAAAAATTGCATTCCTAGAACTATACTGAAAAATATTTGGGGCATGTAATAGGTTTATGTTTATTTTAACTTTTTCCTTGGGAATAATTTCAAACTTACAGATAGGATGTAAAGATAAAAAATAGTACAAAGCATACCCATATACCCTTTACCCCGACTTCACCTATTATTAACATTCTTAGTCCTGTTCACTTTATCATTTGTTTTCTCTCTCTCCCTCCCTTTCTACACACACACACACACACACACACACACACAGTTTTTTTGAACCATCTGGGAGTAACTTATTTAGTAAGCAACATCATTTTAAGGGCACATTTTACCCCTAAAATTCCAAAGAATGTATTTCCTAAGAGTGCATTTCCTAAGAATATAGCTATTCTCTTAACATAACCACAGCATAGTTACCAACTTTAGTAAATCTAACACTGATATAATACTTTATAGTTCATATTTCATTTTTATCAGTTTACCCAACAGTCCTTCGTAACATTTTTAAAATGTTTTTTATTTATTTTTTAATTCAAGTATAATTAACACAGTTTATATTAGTTCTGGTCATGTAAAATATAGTGATTCAACAATTCCATACATTATTCAGTGCTCATCATGGTTTAAATGAACTCTTAATCCCCTTCACTTCTTCATAGCATTTTTTTATCCTCCAGTACAAGGTGGCCAATACATATATTTGATGGTATAGAGCCATCTCTCTAAACAATCACACACACTTGGAAGGGATGGAGGGAGTAAGGGAGAGGAAAGAGAAAAAAAGGAAGGGAATGGAAGTGTATGAGCCTAAGATGACAGCCTTAAAAACATCTGTTATTGTGCCAATAGTTATGCATTTTAATTCTCAAAGTTTAGGACTGTCAATGAAAATAACAACTTATGACTTTCAAGATCTTCTTTAATTAGTTAAGTAGTAACGATAAAGTGGAAACCTTCTTTCCTACAAAACAAATACAGATGTTTTTCCAAAGGTAAAGCTAGACATACCCAAGACACAAGTTAATAACAAATAAAAGGCACAGTTTTTGAAGATTCTTATTAAGTGCTTACTCTCTCAACTTGTCTTGCCTTCCCTAAATGTAGTTTATGAAAACAAGAGAGCCCTCATGCAAATTAGTATGCAACAAGTACCAATAAAATGTTTTAATTTTTCTTTAAACTATCTTTTAATTATAAATTATATTCACAGTACAGAAAACTGAGTTATAGATTTAAAAATAATGTTATATTCTCCTAGCCCATAGACACAGGAGAGTAAAATGTATAGGAATGGTAGAAAGATGCACATAGTGTAAGTGATATGCTGACAAAATCCTAAATCTAATTATTTTTTTAAGTTTTCCCTAATCCAAAATAATAATCTGTCAAAAATTACTTAGGTTATACTTGTGTGGAACACCAAATAGCTTTACAAATTTTTGTTCGCTTTCTACCAGAAAGTTTTGAAGAACAGTTTCCAGTTCTTTGATTCTAGTCAGTCTACTGCTGATGAGGTTTAATATACATACTAATTCAAACTCTAAACACTGATAGTGGTCCAGAATAAAATAATAAAACCCAGTATTCATAAAGAAAAGAGAACACTGTCCAAAAGGTATGTAAGCTGTATGTATCTCTGAAGTTCAAATTCAAAAGAAATTGTGTTTTAAAAATACTGTTTACACCCTCAAAATAAATATGTTCCTACCATATGCTTAAAGGCCAATTACTGTCCAGCAGCACAATCAAAAATGCAATGCATTTTGTCATAAGAGGATTTACAATATACCATATAAACCATTTACTCAAGAGCCTAACAGGTAGTCAAAATGAAATGTCTTTTTAACGAGTTACATATATAGCCAAATATTACATTTCTTTCTGCAAAAAGTGTTTATGTATGAAATTACAATTTCTTTTAATTAAAGAATTCCATATAAGTGAACAACTATTCTACTTAAGCCTACAAAACACTTTTTCAGAAATAGCAATCTCAATATCCCAATACCACCAGAAGTATTCTAATTATTGAATTTCATTTACATATAATTTGCTATGAATACCTTTTGCCTGCCTTTAGCTGATTAGCCACATATTGAAGAAGACCAGCAAGATCAATTGGATATTTACGAAAAACTGCACCACAGAAACTAGCCAGACCTAAATGAAATAAAAAAATAGGGCTTTTAAAAAACAGTTCATAAAACAAAAAAAAAAACACAGTATTAGGTGGCATTTCTCAACTAACTCAATTTCTAAAACAAAATGAGGTAGGAATAATTGTACTGCTGATGCCACTGAATGGAGTTTTACAATTAATAATAGCTAATATTTACTGAGCATACATACGCTAAGCACTATACTAAGTAAGCACTTTACATTAATTAACTCATTTAATTTTTGCAATAATCATCTCAGGTTGGTATAAAACCTATCGATGAGGAAAATTTGGAACAGATATATCATGCAACTTGTTCATGTCACATAGTTGGTATGAGGTAGAGCAGTGATTCAAAGGAATACGGCCTGACTCCAGAGCCTGTTAGGCCACAACAATTAACCAAGCTACAACAAAATCTTGCAGATCACCCAGTAAATCTGAATGATCAACAGAACACCTGCCCCTCTAATGTTTGAGTTACACACACAAAAATCTGTCATCTAGAAACATGCTACTAGTTGTGGAGAGGAAAGGAAACAGACCAAGAAGCAAACAAGAGACCAATTTTAACCAATAGTCCTTATCGCATCATGAGTAGGGAGAAAACCCCAGTCAAGAGGAGATCCTAGTAAAATCAAGTGATCTATAACCTTTTCAACAATTATTTGCTGAGCACCTTAAAGGATAATGGACAAGACACAGGTCCTGCCCTCAAGGAGCTTACAGTCTAGTGAGGGATATAGAAAAGGAAGCTGAAATAACTATGATGAATAAAAGGTTCCACATAATAAGAGGAGCACCTAATTCCGACTTTTGGGTAGGAGCATTAACAGGGAAAGTTTTCTGAAGAAAAGTGACCTCTAAGCTGAAATCTAATCAATAAGTAGATGTGGTGGAGGAAATGAGTAGACATGGAAGGGTATTCCAAGTAGAGGCAATAACATGTACAAAAAGGCCATGGAAAGTACAAGTTCAGTATTAATGGAACCCAGAATATGGGGAGGGGCAAAAGATGAGCCTAATACACCGAGTAAGGACCTGATCCCAAAAGAACTTACTTGTATGACTTAATGCAGATTTCAGACTTTAAAGGGCAATGGGGAACTACCACAAGATTCAGCTATCAGACACAACAGGTTGAAAGAAAAGGGAACTCACTGCTAGAAATCAAAAGCACAAGAAATTTAGAACAAAACAAGGCTAGGGTTTCCGTTAACAACCAAGTTTTTGTTCTTTTAAGATGAATGAAACCTCAGGATGGAAAGGAGAGAGAGGAGAAGAGTTCCCTTAAGACTGATTCCTCTAGGGTGCCTGGGTGGCTCAGTTGGTTAAGCGACCGCCTCCGGCTCAGGTCACGATCCTGGAGTCCCGGGATTGAGTCCCGCATCGGGCTCCCTGCTCAGCAGGGAGTCTGCTTCTCCCTCTGACCCTCCTCCCTCTCATGCTCTCTGTCTCTCATTCTCTCTCTCGCAAATAAATAAAATCTTAAAAAAAAAAAAAAAAAAAAGATTGATTCCTCTAAAATAATAGAAGGGAATTTTTATCTCCCCAGTAATGCTTGCACAAATTCTATCACAGCCAATACTAGACTCTTGAGTTGGAAAATGAGTAAGTACTACATGAACCTCCTTACACAGCCAAAACTTAGACACACTGAGAGCAAGCTGAGTGGCTAGGTATTCTCAAGACCTCTTGACAAACAGGCTCTTAGCATTAGCAATAGAATACTTAACATGGCAATTACAACAGATGGAAATTTCATCCTTAGAAAAATAACAATAAAAAAAAAAGAAAAAGAAAAATACTTACTCTGAAGCCAGCTTGAGATGGTTGTGTCATCATGTTTCATTCTCTCCTTTTCTGGATTAGCTAAAGCTTCAATGATACAATCTTTCGCACATTAAGGAAAAAATTTAAGTCACTACATCTCTAACCAAGACCCTTAAAACAGTAACAAAATGCCGCATCTTGGAAAAAGTAAAATTGTCAGCTTCAAGTTACTACAGATTATTGAAAATTATACTCACAGTAGTACCAACTTTTCCATCTTTCAGCAAGCGAGACAGATTCCACCTATATTACCATGTTTAGTAAACTTAACATTGTTCTCTCCCTATACACAAAGCAGACACACACACACAAACTCTTGACTGGCCAACCTTCTTTAGATCAGCCAACAGAATTAACCTCATATGGTTACTAATGGAACTTAGAATGAAAAAGAAAAACAAAAAGAATGAAAATAAATGTTCACCATTAAGATCTATGAAATGTGAAATCTATGTATTACTTCACTTGAAAGGATACAGGCCAAAACATCATAATTCAATGAAGTGAGGTATTTCAATGAATCTACTACAGGTGTTATTAAGTTATCATACTTCTGTATTTGCGACAAGATCTGGACGATAGCAACAAAAAATAGATGGCATTAACTCATCAAAAGGGAACTTCTGTGCTAAATAATGACTATACGTTCTTTGTTCTTCAAAAGAAACAATGCTTAAAATTAAAGTTGCTTCCTTCTACTTTGTATTTATATAAAACCTACTATATTCTATCATTTCTTAGGAAATATGTTCTTAAGCTACATTCTCCAATTAGAAAATAATTCCAGGACATATAACTTGACTTCTGGAATGATAAATGCCAAATGTCTTTTAAAAATCTCTTTCTAAATATAAAAGTATTATGCCTGAATCACAATGAAATGCTACTCAAATGTTTCTAAGAACAAAAATCAATAAATAATGCATCTCTTTATTAATATTTTTATAAACCAACATGGGGTAAATAAGACAATGTTAGACTGTTTAACAGTAGCATTGTTACATATGACCAAAAAGGAGATCAATGTGTTAAATATACTGTATGCTGTTTTTAGAGTAACAATGTTTCATTTGCTAAAGATTTTTTCCCCTAACACTATCATTTTTAAAACTTCATCATTCCATTTCCACTTGTGCTGATTTAAAGACAACAAAAAGAAAAATCCCTTAAAATAATATTAACCTCAAAACATACATAATCAAACAAAATGGTTGGATTGCTGTGGCTCAACTTCCCAATTTGTCTTCCAGAAGGCTTCACATTTTCCTTGGTTAGACGCCTACAAGGGGAGAAAAAGGTGGCAGAGATCATCTTAAGTCATTTCCCTTATAATGTTGATAGCATTGTTATATCATAAAAAAACAAACAAAAAAAAACAATTCTTTCCCAAGTATCCAAAATGGATCCATGTAAAACCACCACATTCTTCATATACATTACTATAGGCCTTAAGTTATTTTGATTAGGCATTCTCCCAAAGGGTATTAAGATTTTGAATTAATGCTTAACATTTATAATATATACATTTCCATTTTATACTAATAGTCTAATAAGCAAAAACTCTTAAGGTACTCTACAAGTACATAATACTCCTTTTGAAGAAAACCATAATTATTTTTTTAAAGATTTTATTTATTTGTCAGAGAGAGCGCACATACAAGCAGGGGGAGCGGCAGGCAGAGAAGCAGGCTCCCCACTGAGCAAGGAGCCCAATGCAGGACTCAATCCCAGGACCCTGGGATCATGACCTGAGCCGAAGGCAGAAGCTTAACCTACTAAGCCACCCAGGCGTCCCGAAAATCATAATTATTTTAGATTTAGAAGCGCTCATTTATCAGTGTAGGCATCAAATTCAGTGTAACGCAATCAAATACCTCATACCATCTGTCTCAGTTACCCTAAAAGAATAATAGCTAATGCTGCACTCCTTGATAAAGGAAAGTTCTCTGGTTTTCGTGTAAACAATTTTTTAAAAAATCAATTCTACTCCTTTCCTTCCTCTTTAATTCTTCCACTGCTCAGTATTCTTTTACTAACATTCTGGAAAATTTAGATCTATGAAATGCTTACAGCTCAAAATTATTACACAGCATCTTAAACTCTTCTGATATTACATAATAAATCTAGAAACTTAAAAAAGCTGATGACTAAAAGCTTTCTAGAATGAAAATACAATACGATGAAGCAAATAATGAATTCAGTTGATAGTTCAAGGAATGGGACCATTCTGGAAGTAACAAACTTGATAATTATCTTAAGAAGTTTCTTATGACAAAACTGACCCATCAATCAAAATTATTTCATCATCAACTGCTTCCCTTTCCCATTCTCCAAGGCCCAGTTTCCTTTTCTCCCACAGAAAAGAGAGACCTATCAAGTTTGAAACTTGGGCTATACTCTGTTCCACCTTCAAACTTACTACCACCTGTCCCTACTTCTGACCCTACTATTTCAGGTGGTCCTCCTACTTGCCAAAGCAGATCCTTCCTCTCTATACCTTTTATCCCATTCCTTTCTGCCTCCACCCTGGAGGGAAAAAACAAACAAACAAATAAATAAATAAAAGGAGTACTTTCTTGATTATGTCTTACCCTCAAGCTACCATGGTGTCTGGCATAATGGAACACAATCAATGACCATCTGTTGAATGAATTACTGAATGCCTTACAGCAAATTCATTTTTTAAACAGTAATCAAAACTTGTGAAATTCTGTAAGTAATAAATTAATACACTCCATTCCCAACATATAACGTTTAATCAATACCAAAATCATGTTGTTCAAGCCTGGTGAAATAGTTACAACAAATACAACAAAAATCCAAGTACATTAAAATTTCTACACATATTCTTCTGTGATATATATTTTTATTAATTCATTCATTCATTCATATTAATGTCTTCTATAACAGGCAAAGAGTGAAGCACTCAGAATACAAGGATGAATAATAGCTCCTGCTCTCAAGCTTAGTCTAGCTGGGGAGACTGACTTAACCTATTTTTTAAATTTTACTTTCTTAAATCCAGCAAGTTACAGAACAGTATTTATTATATGCTAATAATAGTATAAGGGGGGAGAATAATATATTTGTATTCACCTATATATACATAAAAATCTCTGAAGGATAAATAACAAACTAAATAATGGCTTCCTTTTTTACCTCCTGAGTGAATGGAGGATGAGATGAGAGACTTTTTATTATCTACCTCTTCATATTTATTGAAATTTAAGCCATGTGAATGTATAAACTATTCCAAAGATTAATTAGATAAGAGAAAAATAATCATAGCAATGTATCTAAGTGGTATGATAGCATCATATGCATATGGGACAGCGGTGGCATAAACAAAGAACAGTAGATTGTGCTTGGCAGTATGTGTTACAGAAGGCTTCGTGAGGAGCTAACATTGAAGCCCACCCTCCAAGGATGATGAGGTCACCAGATGGACAGAGGAAAAAGAGGTAAGGAAATCCTGTACAAACAGAAGAAATGAAACATAGATGCAAAGAAAAAGGAGACCACAGGCCATTCAGGGAAACTTAACTGAGCTCAGCACAGCTGGAGGTAGAATTAGCAGGCAAAGAGGTTGGAAATGGGGAGGGACAGATCATGAAAGATGTCTTACATCACCATGCCATAAAGGCTGACACATAACCTGCAGGCAATGGTTAGTCACCAAAGGATCTTGAAGAAAGAAGAAAGAAGAAAGGCACAATAATACTCCCAGTAAAAGAAGTTAGTGGCAGTAGAGAGTAGAAGACAGATTCAAGAGATCTGATAATATTTAATATACAATTGACCCTTGAACAACATAGAGATTAGGGGCAACAACCCCCTACACAGTCGAAAATCTGTGTATAATTTCTGACTCCCCAAAACCTTAACTACTAATAGCCTACTACTGACCAGAAAGAAGCCTAATAACATAAACAGCCGATTAACACATATTCTGTATATGTATTATATACTATATTCTTACAATAAAGTAAGCTAAAGAAAATATTAAGAAAACCATAAGGAAAATACATTTACAGTTCTGTCAATACTGTTAAGCTTACATTGTCTATTTACAAGATGAACAGTCTGTCAGTACCTACACCAATATATGATACAAAACACTGTAGATATTATATGCATCACTAACACTAGACATCAAAAATGAAGAGATAATATGAAAAAGAAATTCATATTTATTTATAGATATAATGATTCATGCATTGATAACAAAGCAGCAACAATATGACTGCTTTATGGCAGCCTAGTATAACTGATATCATTATCAAATTTTTATGGCATATAGCATTACAGTCATATTCATAATACAGTACTGGAAATACTGTTACTTTTTTTAAAAAACCATTTATCTGTGATAGGCTGATAATGCAGTTTGTCCAATTACAAGAAAGGCATACTATACAATAATACAAATCTTCGAAAGCAAAGTTATCAAACAGTAAGAAAACAAACACATTATTAATTTTGTTAAATATCATTCACCTTATGCCTATGTAAGGATAGGCTATCCACTTCCATACAAGTCTTACACACAATATCCTACATGATGATAAGGACACAAAAACATCTCCTATAGTTCTTGCCATAGGGTTAGACTTTCACACAAAGACACAAACACAACAGACAAGTTTATTAACTGTATTATCATGATGATTATTTACTATTCATTAAATGAAAGTGGATCATCATAAAGGTCTTCACTCTCATTGCCTTCACACTGAGAAGGCTGAAGAGGAGGAGGAAGAGGAATGGTTGCTGGTCTTGTTGTCTCAGGGCTGGCAGAGTGGAAGAGGCAAAGGAAGTGGAAGAAAGGCAGTTGAGACAGGCACACTCAGTGTAACTTTATGGAAGTACATGGTCATTTCTGACTTTTTTGCTTTTCTACTTCTTTAAAAATGTTTCTATATGGTACCTATCCTTCTTCCACCATTTGCTTTAGTTTCAGTGCCCATATCATAGAAGGGTCCATATCGTAATAGAAGTCAAAAAGCAGTCTAGAATAATCAGAACCTTCTTCCAGATTGTCCAATGTCAATTTGTTTTCTGGAACCGGGTGTTTATCTTTTCCCTTCAAGGCTCAGGAGTTAGCAGCTTTATAGATAAGGGCACTGCAGATCATAAACTTGACCGCATTTGCACAAAACAGAAGAGTTAGCCTATCCCTTCCTACCTTAAATTCTGTGCTTGCTCTTCCTTCCTTCCTAACAAATGTCCTTTGTGGCTTTATTTTCCAGAATAGGGCAACTTTTGTCTGCATTAAAAACCTGTTCAGGCAGATATCCCTTCTCCTCAATGATTTTTTTTTTTTAAAGATTTTATTTATTTATTTGACAGAGAGAGACACAGCAAGAGAGGGAACACAAGCAGGGGGAGTGGGAGAGGGAGAAGCAGGCTTCCCGCGGAGCAGGGAGCCCAATGTGGGGCTTGATCCCAGGACCCTGGGATCATGACCTGAGCCGAAGGCAGACACTTAACAACTGAGCCACCCAGGCGCCCCTCCTCAATGATTTTTTTAATGGCATCTGGGAACTCATCTACTTTCTGCCTCTTGGTCAGCATAAACTCTTTCTCCTGTCATCTTGACATTTTTTAAGCCAAACCTCTCTAAAATTATCAAACCATCCTTTGCTGGCCTTAAATTCTCCAGTTTCTGATCCTTCACTTTCTTTTTGCTTTGTTGTCATATAATGACTTGGCATTTTCTCAAATTACATTAGAATCAATAGATATTTCATTCTTAAAGCAATCCTGCACCCACATAAAAGCTGCATTTTCAATACAAGATAAAAAGGTATTTCACAAAAAGTACAAAGTTTTCACATCTGCTGGTATAGCTGCAACAATGACCTTATGAATTTCCTTTAAAAACAAAAACAAAAACAAAAAAACAGTCCTTACACTGGATTCATTTATCTTGAAATGGTGGATAGCTGCAGCTACAGATCTCGAGCTATGGTACATATGAAGCAATTCAACTTTTTCTTGTAATGTCATGACTTTTCTCTGCTTGGGAGCACTTCTGGCAGCACTAGAAGTACTTCGTATGGGCCCCAGGGTGTTATGCAAGGCTTACGGTATCGCAATAAACACAAAAAATACTTAAGAACCATGAGAGATCACTTTTTACTGCAATACACAATTTACTGGAAAGATGAACTGCTCACACAGAGATGATCATCATCACACAGTGTTTTAAGCGGATACTCGCAACACTTGAGCTCACTGCGTAGCAACGGGGTGGCTACGAAATTATTACAGTAGTACAATAAGTATTACAGGTACTTTTATGCAGTTATGACTTAATACTAAATCTTTACATTTGTTTACATCTCTCTTTACTACGAATAGCACGTTGTACAGTCTGTAAGTGTGCATGTAGGTAAGTTCTGGTAAATTTTAACTTTTTAGAATAGATTGGTGTATATTTTATCGTAGCAAATGATAAACTAGACTAGTATCTACATATATTTTATGCATTCATGACATACCTTTTTCCTGATTTTTTTCAGTATTTCTAGGTTATGTCATCTGTAAGTTTCTTCAAATTTGTTCCAAATCTCCAAAAAATTTTCCAATACTTTTTTTTTTTAAGATTTTATTTATTTGACAGAGAGAGACACAGCGAGAGAGGGAACATAAGCAGGGGGAGTGGGAGAGGGAGAAGCAGGCTTCCCACTGAGCAGGGAGCCCAATGCAGGGCTCAATCCCAGGACCCTGGGATCATGACCTGAGCCGAAGGCAGATGCTTAACGACTGAGCCACCCAGGCGCCCCTCCAAAACATTTACTGAAAAAAATCCACATATAAGTGAATCCGCATAGTTCAAACCCATGTTTGTTCAAGAGTCAACTGTATTATTAAATAATCCATATAAAGCACTTAGTTCAGGGCCTGGCACATATAAATATTAATGGCTCCATAAATATTAGCTGTTGTTGTTAAGCTAGAAACTACCCGTGGAATTCTTAAGATCGGAACTCTTTTGGAATGACCAATTCTAATATCACCTCCTTCCATGCCTTCCCCAACTTCCACGGGGTGAAATAACTCACTCTCTTCTCTATCCTCCCAAAGAACATTTTATATACACTGTATAACAGCAACTATTAAACCAAATTGTGATTGTGTACACACCTGTTTCCCCAATAGACTGTGGCCAGGGACAATATCACTGGGAAGACAGTAACATTGCATACTGTTAAATCTAGTTAAACTAGAGAATGAACTATTTTAATTAGAATAACCATACCACTGCACAAACATAAAAGAAACAACAATCAATAGCCTTGCTGAAAACACTTGTAATATAGCAGTGTATTTAGCATATAAACCAACTCTAATCTGAAGTATACAATTTTCATAATTAAATTTCAGTTTACCAAGAAGTAAAATAACATCACTCTTATGTTTTTAATAACATGAAAATAAAGCACAAAAATGAATAGAAATTTTTCAACAGTTGACTCAAGGACGTAGTTCTACATAATTCCATTAGATCTTCCAAAAAAGAAAAAATATATTTTTTTAAAGATCTTATTTATTTGAGAAAGAGAGAGAGAGAGAGAGAGAAAGCACACATGCAAGCAGGGGAAGGGGCAGAGGGAAAGGGAAAGGCAGAGAATCCCAAGCAGATTCTGTATTGAGCGCAGAGCCCAATGCAGGGCAGGATCCACAACCCATGAGATCACAAACTGAGCCAAAACCAAGAGTCAGAAGCTTAACTGACTGAGCCACCCAGGCACCCCAAGAAAAATCTTTATTATAATAACTTTCGGCAGAGGAAATTTCAAGAACTTTGACCACCTTTTATAATCCATTAAATGTATTATGCAAATTGAGCAAAGGCCATAGTAGACTGTCCTTTAAAAAAAACTCACCTATAATATGATGCATTAAAGAGGATTATTAGATTCTACAGCTATGCAAACATGACAACTACAAAAACTAACTTGGTAGTCAAAATGAGCTAAAAAGCACAAAAATTGGTAGTCATTCTATCTGCAGTATATAACTGACTATACCATTAAGCAAATACTCCTGGGCTTCCTCAGAACTGAGGCTCAGACATAAGTTGGCTGGAAGAAAGTAAATTAGATCCAGATATACTTTAGGTTAATATGAAGAAAAATAAATTAAAACTTACTTCATGATATATTTGGCTCTGTCTATTGTTTGGGCTTTAACTTTTACTAAAAGTGGGTGACTGTTATAAGTTTCATTCTTCCACTGGCCATACAGACGATATCTTAAAAAACGAGATGAAGAATTAGGAAAAGTTAAACACTTAGAGGTTAATGACTAGAATAGTAGTTAAAAATACAAAAATATTACGTATTTACCTATGTTGATATGGAAATGTTTTAAACATTCCCCATAGTTCCTCAGACATACAAGCATTGCAGTCCATCAAAGAAAGAGATGGAAGAAGTACCTGGTCAGTAATGCTAAGTAAACAGCTAAGGATAACTTCCTAAGAAGAAGGAAGGAAAAAATTATTTTAGTAAAAGGTCCATATTAACCCCCCCCAAAATAAATTTATGTCAGCCTTGGAAAAACTGCCATTCCTTGACCTCATACCACACCACATCTAATTTCCCACATTATCACTGCCCTTTTCACAGTGGATATTTGTGCTTCTCCATCTAAGGAAGCAATGAGGTGAGGTAAGGAAAGGGGTAGCAAGAGAATGAGGGATTCTTGTTATCCCTCTTCCTTTCTCAACATGGTAATCCTCAAAAACAGGAGTTGTCAATCTTAAAAGATATGTCAAAAGCTATACTAAGCATGTAGAGTACAAAATATTCACAAAGGTGATTAAAACTTGTTCACAGTAAAATTTACAGTATGCCGTACATAGACCAATCAGACACATCGGATTTTTCTAGTATCTTACCGTTTTCTCTTTATCTTCTTGCTTGCTTCCATCAGACTGAAACTAAAATTAAAAAAAACTATAAATAAAATGCAAAAAGGTTAAGATTATGATGTCACAATTTAGCATCTAATTTGAAAAAAATTAACTTGTACACGGTTGTGAATTATTTCCTTACTTTTTAAACAAGTGTAGATTTTAAATATAGCCAGTATTACCAACTAACATTTTTAAATTTCACCTATATTTCTAGCTTCCAAATCATTTTTGCAACATTCATGAATTTTAAATGTCAATTTTATAAGCCAATTCTTTTCTTAACCTCATTATCACAAACCAAAGCATCCTAAAATTGATCTAAGTATTTATTATAAGATTGTATCCAGCACAATTTAGTTATAATGCATTTGCATTTTTCCATCCAGAAGTTCTGATTTTCTGCTACAGAATTAGTAAAATCTAAGACTAAAGCAATAACACAAAAAAATTAAACCCAAAGAAATTTAAACTATGTTTTAATTCACCATTACTTAAACTCTCAATGAGAAATAAGCCTAAAATATTAGTAAAACATTACTGACAAAGACCAAACCACTGCCTAAGTTGGACTGAATGAAAAAACCTGGGTCGTTTTGTATCAGTGATTTGCAGATGGACCGCTGAAGTGCCATGTTTGATGCTGATGCTGTCCATTCATTCAAAATGAAACAGTACTTGTGTGTGTGTGTATATAGGCAGGTGGAGAGTTAGAGGAGTGTACAAAGGCCAAAAGGACAACTGAAGCACTGATAGCCAAGGATAATCTGGATTTCTGGGAAGGATTTAACTCAGTACCAAGTGACAGAAGGGGAAAACGCTAACATGCAGCTAACAAGCTTATTATTTTCCTGGCAGAAATAGGTATTTTGTGCATGCATGTTTTTATACTTGAGTAATTTAATGGTACTACAGAGAAGTCTGACTGCTGCGCAACATTTTCACATAAGACTAATTCTGGGACTGCCATGTCACCTTGATGGGAAAACACAAACAATTCCCCTCTTTTTTTTTTTTTTATCAGCAGGTTAAAAAGATACGGTTCGCTTTCACAGAAACAACTGTTAAGTCAATATATATCCTGGTCAGCAAATAAGGGTCAGGTTATGAAGGAATGGCCTGGCAGAAAACAAAGTAGATAGCTGCTTTTGTTTTGTTTGGTTGTTGGGGGGGGGGGGTAATTCTGGTGGCATATTAGGAAGAACTAGATTTACAGTATATTACGTTGGGGATAAAGGCAGTTAAGCTACTCCTTTTCTAGTATACTATGACCCTAATAAAGCTACACAGAGTTTTCTCCATAGAAATAAAACATTTTCTTACCTACTAAGCTGTCCTAATTCCTTTACTAAATACTTAAGTTTGTAATGTCTATATGTCAATTCTCTAGATTTCATAACCAGGAAAATTTGAAAAAGAAATATGGTCTATCAAATAAATAAAATCTTTAAAAAAAAGAAGAAGAAATATGGAAAGCAAATGAAACTACCTAGAAGAGCCGTAAGAAACATTTCTATCAAAGGCTAACTATAACAAAGATGAACAAAGATGAACAAAAATGGTAAAGGTACATGCAAGTAAAAGAATTTTATTTTCTTTGGTAAGAATATAAAGACACATTCCAGTCCCTTGATGCTTTTTCTTTTAATTTGCTTTTTAATTTAGAATAAATATAAAACTCTCCATTCCCATAGTACAACACTAAAATTTTATTGAATGGCCAGTCCAGGAAGAAATGGAAGAAAAGAGGGGGAGGAAGAAAATACGTCCACTTCATGCATTCATTTACTATGTGCCAGATACTGGGAATTCAAAGATGAACAGAACAGAGTTCCTATCTCTGAGGAAGTGACAAAGACAATTCCTATCCTTGAGGATCTCTTGAAAATCAAAACTACACTTGCCAATGTACTATTAGGAACTGAATTTTTTTAGTCTGAATAAAATCAAGCATTCATAATTATGCCTAGACAAACCATCAGCTATAAATGGCCCCAAGCAGGTTCCATTCTTGCCCTATAATGAGGGAGCAGATGACAGGGCTGCATAAAAGAATTGGGCACAAAAAGAATGTAGGTCCACCAAGAGAGGGCTTCTGGAGAGTCAAGAAATAAAGCTTGGGAAAAAGTTGTAGATTTAACTAGATAAATTATTACTGATGTCCTACTTTTAGTATCTCTAACCCATGAATATTTGAAATGCTACTTTATATTTTATTTCAAAAAAGAAGAAAAAAGAAAAATATATTTAAGACTTGTGACTAGATTTGAAGCTGAAGCTACATCTAAGTAAATTATGGCACTATTTTCACCTTCCTTATTTTTCTCATTCTTAATTAACTACCATTTATTGAGTACTCACTATGTGCTATACAGTAGGCTAAGAATTTCACATTTAGGTCTTAAAACTATAAGGCAAAAAATTTTTTTAAAGATTTTATTTATTTATTTGAGAGAGAAAGAACACATGAGCAGGGAGGAGGGGTAGAGGGAGAGGGAGAAGCAGGCTCCCCGCTGAGCAGGGAGCCCAATGTGGGATTCCATCCCAGGACCCTGGGATCATGACCTGAGCTGAAGGCAGCCACTTAACTGACTGAGCCACCCAGGTGCCCAAGGAAAATCTTTTTGCTAGAAAGGACCCAATTAAGACCCACCAAAATAACTTAGAAATAAGAAAATACAACCTATAAGTTAAAAGTTACAAGGCCATGAGTTTACCGAGCCTAAAGAAGAGATAAATGAATTGCCTTTCAATGCTTTGGTTCAAAGCTTTGTTTTTATCTTTTAATCAGAAACTCTTAAAATTTTATAAACACTTAGAAACAATCAGTAATATTGCTACTACATCATTTCTGAAAACAGAGATACTAAATGAAAAAGTACTATCTTCCAACACATTTCATTCTTAATCAATACAAATCTGTACCAAAGAATTAATAATATGATCACCTATACACAGGATGACCATTATGTGCTGGTTCTTGCTTTTTATCCCAGTGTAGGTAATAGCACAACCTTTCCATCTTGAATATCCTGGTTCAGACAATAAAGCACATGGTCTCCCTACCTACCACATGAGTAGCATTCAAACTGCAGTAAATGGACTTGAGGGAGTGGTTTAAACATTAAGATAATAGCAAACTAGACAAAATGCTAAATAGCCAAACTTGGTTTCATAAAATTCAGCACCCAAAAGTAATTACTTTGGTTAAAACGTTGATTATGGGGCGCCTGGGTGGCTCAGTCGTTAAGTGTCTGCTTTCGGCTCAGGTCATGATCCCAGGGTCCTGGGATGGAGCCGCGCATCCAGCTCCCTGCTCAGCGGGAAGCCTGCTTCTCTCTCTCCCACTGCCCCTGCTTGTGTTCCCTCTCTTGCTGTCTCTCTCTCTCTGTCAAATAAATAAATAATAAAAATCTTTAAAAAAAAAAAAGTTGATTATGATATGAAACTGTGCTGTTTTACACAAGCATAGTTCTAACAAGCTGTGTGTAAAAATGGGTATTTTCAGTGCACAATGAATATGAATATGTGATTTATTTAAATGAATTCTCTTTATAAATGGAGTTCATAATAGAAGTTTTTTGTAAAACAAAAAATTGCCCTGTAAATCTATCTTTAGGGAAAATTAAGGTTTCCAAATGGAATTCATTTAAAGGGATATGCCCCTGTGTTTTACTTTACATTCCCCCAAAATCAGACCCTATTCAAGTACAGGCATAATTTATTCGGGAAGTAACCCTAGTAGGAAATTATTCCTGTGGGTTAACTGGAGCTTAATCCCACTGGGGACTCTGAGGGTCTGTGTAGAAATACAACTCAGGATTATCCCATCTCAAGGCATGGTAGTTACACACTAACTCCTATCATTTCACTGGTTGAGAGCTGGGGAGAGGGGGTAAGGTGAGTTAGTTCTCCAGCAGTTCCAGGATACCAATTCCTATCCTCCCTATGCAGGCTTCCAGGGCCAGAAAAGCCCTCAGACAACGAGATGCAGGTGCCAATAGTTGAAAATGGGGCAGGCACACACCAAAATGATAAGGACCTAGTGCAAAGCGAAAAGAATACAGATGGAATCTAATAGCATCTGATATGCCCCGCATGGACAAATGGCCAAACCTCCAAGAGATGAAGAGTTTTTCACAAATATTTTTTAATGTTTTACATTCTGAATTTTTTTTTCTGAAACTGAACACTGAGGTCCAATTTCAGAAAACAGTCTTTGAGAGGAGGCACAGGGGTTGAATCAATTGCTTACAGTGTGTGCACACTAAAAAGTTGACTTTTCTTTCTTGTATAAAATATACTTCTTAAAATTATACTGTTTGTACGTATCTACATTTGCCTATTAACAGACTTAGATGTTTATATGTCTCTCTTAAGTAAAAAGCATAGCTAATGGTAAAAATTAAGATCCTATTTGTAATTTTATTACCTTAACTATGATTCTACATCTTGATTAGAATTGTCACATGAAGATATTCAGTAATAGCTAAGGTGACCTTAGTTCAAACCAATTATTACAGGTGACAATATAAGTACAAATATAAACATCCTAAGAGTTCTTCCCTGCTCAGGCTCATTAAATAGCAAGAATGATGTAGATTAAATTTGGTCTCCAAATCTAGAGTTCACTTGCTTTGTATGAGACGTATTTATTTTATTTTATTATGTTATGTTAATCACCATACATCATTAGTTTTTGATGTAGTGTTCCAGGATTCATTGTTTACATATAACACCCAGTGCTCCATTCAGTACGTGCCCTCTTTAATACCCATCACCAGGCTAACCCATCCCCCCAGCCCCCTCCCCTCTAGAACCCTCAGTTTGTTCCTCAGAGTCCATAGTTTCTCATGGTTCGTCTCCCCCTCCGATTTCCCCCCCTTCATTGTATGAGACTTATAATAGCAAAAGTACATAGAGGAGCTGAACCAAACTGAGAGAAAAAAAATCCTCCAATGAGAGCAGCATCTGTCTCTTGGACAATAAGAATAATGCAAGGTTCTGATTCTCTTAAAAATATTCTT